TTTTATGTGGTCCATCTTGAAGAATATTGAGGATATAGAGACAAGTGTGGCTTTGCTTTCATTGTGAAGTTTCCATCTTCCCCCCTTGCCCCGGCCCCTGGACATACATACACCTCCATGGTTCCTTTCTTTGTCATCCCATTGCTTGAGTTTTTTCCCCAGTGTCTTTTATCTTTTGAGTAAAGTTTGAACAGTACGCAGAAAGTTAACTGCCTGGAGTCTTTTAAATATAAGTAACACGCACCCAGTAATAAGCTGTCGGTTGTTTTTTTGCTGCCTGCAAAGAAACATAAACACAGCGCTCATTTCTGGCAGGTTTTTACTGTCAGAGTTTCTCCTATTATATTTATCTTACAATTTGCCAGGGGGTGAAGTTATTAAGTTTTAGCAGCAGCCATCGATCAAGTTCACAAGTTAACACGATAAAGGCTCTGTGCCGCTCCGATCCGGGAAAATGATGATCCTCACTCGGTAATTAACTAAATGAGAAAGTTAAATCTTACTTGAGAGCTGGGAGAGATGAAAGAGAGGTGTTTGTCAGTTTCTCAGTGGAAATTAGAAGCAGTTTTCTGCAATTCCCTAAGCTGCTGCTCTGTCATATTTTACATAAGCACTGGGAAAACGTCTTGTAATTAGTGCTGTCATGGAGGATTTTTTTTGCTGAAGGATGTTGGAATAATTCATTAGATTATCAAGAAAGGCTTGTGTCCTGAAATGATTAGCACAGTGAAATTTAAACCATTAACGATAACAAGTTTAGAGCTTGCTGCAGTGCAGAGGCACCCGGGGTATGTCTGTGCCTATTTCAATCATTTCTTATAATTAAACATTATGTCCTCTTTTTTCCTCCCCTTCACTAAGACCCATCCAAATTCCTGTTAAGGTGGCTCTGTCTAGATCAGTGACTTAACCACAATGGGTGGTGCAAGTTGGAGGTAAAATGCTGCAGTTGCAGAGAAGTAGTGGAGGACATCTCTCTGTGTCAGAGCCTGTAGTCCCAGTGAGTCCCAGAAGGAGGGGAGAAGCACGCTATGGCCTTTTGGTACTGGAATGTGGAAGGGAAGATCCTTCCTTTTGTCTAGGGAGAAATTGAAATTTGCAGTAGTTTCTAATCTCTCGGTCTTTTCAGAGCTTCAGCATGAAGATGTCTTGAAGATTCAGAAGATCCCAAACCTTGCAGTGGTCATTTAAGCCATTCTTGATATTCTAGGAGACAACTTCTCTCTCTTTCTTTTTTTTTTTTTTAAGGGATGTCTTCTTACCTTAAGAAACATGTAACCTAAATTCATCTACCCTTTGGAAAGTGCCTGAACAGAGTCCTCTTCTATGATTAGAGGATACGATGGCTTTTTTTAAAAATATATAAAAGTTGTGACCACTCATATGGGTGGGTAAACACTATTGCTATACTACAATCAGAGAACTGTGCTTGTCTTTGTTTTTCTGTGCTTTAGGAGGCTCCTTGGTCCCCACTACTGAACAAAAACAAAAGTAACCTTTGTTGTCATATATGGGTTACAGCTGAGATATACCATAGCTGTTTCGTTTTGTATGCATAACACTAGATTTTTCCAGTCTTTATGTATCTGTGTTGAAATATTACACCTTCCTATAGTTGCAAGCCATTATTTAGATTAAAGTCCTTTCATATATTAGTCCTCTTCTACTTCACTGGGCATACAAATGTGCTTTGTGTTAAATGTAGCCATTTGGAGAAACGGTCTTGTAATTATGGGCTGCAGTGGAGCATAGTACGTAGATCCCTGAGCTAGTACCAACCTGAGGCACTCAATCCCCTGGGTTTCCTGGCACAGCTTATGAGCTCAGGATCACGGTTGTAGGAGGACATCTCTCCTGTTGCTGCAGATGAGTCATGGTGTCCAGAGCCAGCTGGGGTACCTCTCAGCCCTCACGTACAGGGCTTTGTGAAAAGGGAGTCAGTAAAGCTTAATCTGTTCCAAATTAGTAGTTTGCTCTGCTATACCCAAATTTCCTCCCAGATGATGGACTACCAGTGGTTATTCTTCTTTGCCACATATGGAAGTGAAGCTTATAAAAATCACGACTGTATATAGTGCATTTGGATGGATATTTACCCTAGCAGTATGGATGGCACGTGAAACAGGTTTTTGTTTTTCAGGTGAGGCCTGATTACTGTACCAGGAGAGACTGTAGACAATTTAATAATACAGATGCTTGATGTCATTGTTTTTGTTGATGCTTCTTTTTGCTAACAGGCCTTTTTCACTGAACTGCCAGTGGATTTTCAGGAATCTTCAAATTGAAATTCTGGAATTTTTGTTCTGAACTGTAGTTTGAGTGATTTGGGAGTCAGTTTATCTGTCTCTGCTCTGCAGAACTGGTGTGTTTCATGGCATGCCCTGTCCTCTTGGTCCCGTGCTTACATAGACCACAGGATCTGCCGGGCATACTGTGGCTGCCTCTGAGCTTGTCCTCACTCCTTTAGGTGAGAAACCAGAGCAGACAAGGGTGCAGGTCTCAAGTTGCATTGTAATAATGCATCTAAAGTATCAACCTAATACATACAGTGTTCCCATGTCTACCAGTTCGGACATAAACACTGTAACATGTGTTCTTCTTAGCAGAACCACATTAAACCTGGAGTTTCACTTCCAGAGCTGTTAAAAGTGTTGGTCAATGGACTCCTTCTGTTACTCATTATTCCTATCAAAGAAGCCTGAGTTCACTTGGGATCCATCTATCTGGACACACATAAGCCATCACTTGTTTCTGCAGATGTTCCAACTTCTGTTTGATACTCCAAACCAGTGCTTTAGAGGTAACTGGGAAGCTGAAGGCTGCTGGGAGAGGGGAGCTCAGAAGGCAAGGAAAGGCCAGAACATGGTGCCACCCCAGAAAAGGAGCTGCACCTTTGTGGCCTTTGCACAGCAGTTGTCTACTCTGCTCAGGCACAGTGTGTTAGTCAGACTTCACAGTCTCTCAAATTAAAAGACGTATAGGTTTTTAAAAAATGCTTTGTAGAGACACCCTGTGTTGTGAGATGCACAGCAAACAAAATGGGAAATTAAATGAGATCAAGCTTTTGGGATGCAACATTTCCCCACTGTCTTAATCCAGCATTTTTACAGGGATGGCTGTTTTGCCAAAAATGACCAGAATCGCTTGACACAGATGTTCAGTGCACTCCACTGGTAATCATTTTTTGCCAGGCTGTTGACCACTGTGGACTTTGCTAGAAAAAGTCCAGTCTTTTACAAATAGGACTTCATGCCCATAGTCCCTTTAGTGATTTCTCTATATAAAAAGTTGGCCCAAGAGAGAGTTTTTCTTTCCTGCTGCTCTGTGACTTGCTTGCAGTCAGTATTGTCCATGTGATAACTGAATGAAAGTGTAACTCACAGTCCTTGTCTTGCATGATCTTACTGAACACAGAAAGCCACAGCCACACATTTGCAGGGAGGAGCAGGGATAAAAGTAAGGTTGAAAACATTGGGCTGCAGAACTGAGCACTGATGGTGTGATCACAATGTTCTATGTTCTCAAAGAAACTTAAATCATAATCCAGAAATTGAAAAAAATGGTTGCTAAAAATCACAGCTAATTACTGTCTTTTTCTATCAGAGAAGGGTCTGTCCAGCTCTGCTAGAAATGTCAAAAAGACTATTTAGGTGCATTTTCTCTGGAAAATGAAATATATATGGTTGAGTAGATTTTCAAATTATGAGGTTTTTGGTGTTCCAAAGTCAGGATTGCGGTTGGGCTTCAGAGGTGTTGAAGTTCAGGAGTTATTTACTCCTGAGAAATGAGAAATTCCTGCATTCCAAGCCCAGTACTGGTAGCTAGATTTTGTGGTCTCTAAATAGCCTGCTGCTTTGGCACTTACTGAAAAGAGGCTTTTTTTGTTGTTTTTTTCTTTTCCTGTAAAATCAGTTAATCCTTGCATTTCATTTAGTTCATTAGATATCTTTGCAGGGAGATTTAGGGACTCATTTTTCCTTTAAATTTAATGAAGTCTCCTGGTGAGGTTGATGCTTGGAATTATTGTAGAACAGAAACACAGCATCCCTACATCAGTGTTTTATGTGTTCTGATATCTGCAATTTATTTTTAATTATTTGATAATTAATAAAGAACCTCTAAATTTATTTTGTCAATAAAAATGATGTAATAATATTGGCTGTTATTATAATGCTGTCTGGTGGTAAACTGTTACAATGAAAGAGAAAAAATCTCATGTTTTCAGCATTTAATAAAAACTATTTGACCGATACAGCAAAAATTCATTTCCCAGCAAACAGTTAATCTTACTTGGACAAAAGATATCCTTGCAATGCAAAATGTGCACTTTTCTTCCAGTTAAATCATTTAGAAAGCAGAATTATGTCTTGCTATCAAGTTGTAAATTGAAACGTCAGTGTTTTGTTTTGTCCCTGAAACTCTTCTTTGAGCTGACTCCTTCTGACAAGATATTAACAGTGCTCAGAAAGCTGAAAATATTTTATTCTATGAAAGAAGTATATACCAAATAGCAGGGTGTATTTTTGATGGCTTTCCTCTCGAGGTGTAATTCAATTTTTTTCTCATCCATTTCACACATTCCCTATGAATTTTAGCAGCAATCCATTCTTTAGGGAAAAAAAAAAAAAACCAGAGTACAAATACAGTTTTCTGTTGGTGCTTTGAAGTAACAGTAAATGTAGATTAGGAATCCAAATATGTTTTACTGTCTACATGATAAATAAAACTGTGTGTATGTTAAACTGCCGCTCGGGGTTTCCCATCTAACCAGAGTCCTTTGTGTGCAGCTCTGGCATGAGCCGGTGCATTGTCCTGCAGGGGCCTCGGCTCCTGTGGCTGCGCTCCAGCTGACAGCACCAAAGGGGAGACGTGGTCCCGGCCAGCTTTGTGTATCAGAGTGCTTTTTTCCTTCTCTTGTCTTTCCCCTGAAATACTGTAAAACTGCTTGAGTTTCTTTTCATATATGTGATTTGGGTTGTTTCTCTCCTCCCTGTTTACAGACTAAACTTGCCAATGGCACTTCCAGTATGATTGTGCCCAAGCAAAGAAAGTTGTCTGCAAGCTATGAGAAGGAGAAGGAACTCTGCGTGAAGTATTTTGAACAGTGGTCCGAGTCTGACCAGGTGGAGTTTGTGGAGCACCTCATCTCCCAGATGTGTCACTACCAGCATGGACATATTAACTCATACCTCAAACCCATGTTACAGCGGGACTTCATCACTGCACTGCCAGGTATTTCTGCAGGCACAGGGAACTTGTTCTTTGTCTTTCAAAAAACTATTCCACTCTGGCCTACCCTGCTGGAGAGGTCTCCACTAGGGTCAGTTTGCAAAATAGATGATAACTTTTGAATGAAAGGCTCTATACCAGTATGAAATTTAGCAATATTTTAATTTGTATTCCTGCTGTCTCTCAAGGCACAGTCCACCATGGTTTGGCTAGGAGCAAGGGATAGCTCATCTACATATTGTAACAATAGTTATCACAAGCCACAGGGCAGGTAGTTGTACTCATAATGCCCATAACGATGCATGAATAACGAAAATTTTTAAAATTAAAACTACTACTCTTCCTGGTTGCTCAACTAAGGTTTTCCCCATTCATATTTAGATATTTTTTTTGTCTCTCTTTCCTTGTAAAATAATTTCCTGAATCCATTGCTTTGATTATGAGTTTATTGCTAATAGAAAATAAAGGGCATAAGATCAAAAGATGGAAATGTTCTATTTTTTACATCTCTGTAGTGCTTTCCATTGAAAATATTATCCCAGCTGTTCTCAGATGTGGCACTGGGCATATCTCACAGAATGCACACATAAAGCAGTGTACGTGCAGTTTTATATTGGCCCCATTTTACAGATGGGAAAACTGAGGCGATGGGAGATCAAATATATACAGCGATAGAGTTTCAGAACCAGACAGAAATTCCTGGATCTTTGGCTGGTTTTTTTCAAACTATTAGATGATAAATAGATAGATAGGTAATAGATTAGCATTCCTATGCTATAGGTCCTCAGCAGGATGGACCTGAGCAAGAAGTGCTACAAGTGTTGTCTCTAAATAGCTAATTGATGAGAGGAGTTTCTTGCCAAGAGCTTCTTCTGTGAATACCTTCGAAGAACTGCTGAACTGTTGGCAATTTGTTCAATCCAGTCATTGATTATTCTTCAGAAGGCAGTTCTCAACGTGAAATTTAAATTTCAGGGTTAAAAGATGGAAAAAACTGTGTTTAACTGAGAATTGTACAAAGCATAAAGGCGCTGCAAGAGTTTTGCCATCAAGTTAAATAGGTAGACTCATTGGATTTTAAGCTCATTGTGCCCAGTAATCAAATGGCTGTTGTAGCATTAAAAAAAAAAATCTTAGTTATGCTAAGTACCTGCTTTATGTTAGTTTTTAGTAGTCCAATGGCAATAATCTCATGTACTTAGAGCAGCATTATAACTTGTGGAGCTGTTCTTTTTCAGAAAAATAGAAAGTGTTTTGAAAGTGCATTGGTTTCCCCACTTTTAAAGAGGAAGTATACATATAATCACATACACAATTTTTCCAGGACTTTCTCCATGAAACTCTGTAAAAGCAAACCAACACATCTCATTGCACTTGCTAATTTCTACCTACAGGCTTTTTTCTGAAAATTTTGGGCAAATGTTATAAATATTTCCAGAGACATTCAAAATTTACTGTCCATATGTACCATATTTGTTAGTGGTTTGTTCACAGTTACCCAGAAAGCAGCTAATTTTACTATATCAGAATGTAGAATAAATAGGAATCAGGCAGCTAATTTGTGAGTATTTTAATAGTTGTGGGAAGTGTGTGTGTAAATAATGTATGTACATCAATTTGCATATTTGGAAATGCAGATGTCCTAGTGAATATAGCTGTAAGGGAGAAAATTAATGGCTAGGAATTACACTGGCACAGATCCTGCAGTCTGTGCAGGATGTCCTGAGTATAGGCAGGTTTCTAAAGAGAATGGCCAAAGGTAAGAAGCTGCCTAGGAAAGAGTGATGAACCTAAAATTCTACATTAAGTCATATAATAAAAAAAATATATACTCTATAAGTATATTTTAGCTTTCTAAAATTCCCAAGTGTTCGGTATTGTGGTTTCATTTTTACTCCTTCATTTTTTCTCCTGCTCTCCCACTTGAGTGAATAAAACAATAAAGCTGCTTCAAAATCATGAGGCATCTTATCTCTGTCCTCCTAGCACTGTCCCAAAGAATGACCAGAATTAATGGTAGTTTTAGATTATGAGCATGTTTTACTAGTATAAAGTTGGCTAAGATTATTTTCCCAGTTCTTTGAACAGAATTAAGGTTGTTTGAAAAATACGGCTTAACTGTGTACTTAACAAAGTTTGTTCAGTTTCTGAAAAATAAGACCTCTGCTTAGCATTTTCAAGCTGTTTAACATTTTTTATGAGGAAAGTCATTTTGATAAGGATTTCATGTGTGAAATAAGTGGAACATTCTTGATGGTGTGGAGGCCTGAAGGGCTAATCGTGTTTCACATTCATTTAGCAAAAACTTCTTTGAGCATAGTTTTGTCTTTTTAAGGAAGCAGTGCTTTGTTAGATATATGTCTCAGTGAGTTGTGCTGTTCCTAAGAAACAAAATAATAAAATTGAGTTTGCATCCAGGCCAAAATAGCTCTGCTCATCCACTTATCATAAATGTGAGGAGGAGAGGCCAAAACATTAGTGTTCCTTCTCTGTGAAGGGTCTAATATCAATGGCAAAGGATGACTAACAGACATGGAAATAGTTATAGCACCTCATTGCAGCAAGATCTAAAGTACAACTACTAATGAACCAGGAAGGGCACATGAGTGAAGATTACTTTGCCCGGTTTTTACAGTGTAGCCCTGCTTCCGAAAACCACCAGTTGTTCTCCACATAGAATAAATTCCTGCTGTGACACTGCTGACTTAAAGCCATCAGTGTGGATGCTACACAGGCATGCATTTGTAAATGTTCTGGTGGGTCTGTGGGCCCACTGGAAGCAACACAGACTGTGAAATAAGCCGTTTCCACCCAATGGAGAGAGCTCAGAGCTGCAGGTGTCAGGCTGCAGACGCAGGGCAACATGATTTCCACGTCTACCCTCCCAAATTGTGGAATTCTTGCAAGTTCAAGTTCAGTAAAATGTATCTCTCTTTCCACAGTTTGCTGTACAGTCAGTCTAAATTTACAGATACTCATTTTTTTTTTTCAGAATTTTAAATAGTGGTTGTACATATCTTTCCGTATTGAATACATAATAAAGGCTGCTGAAGCTTTTATTTTGCAGGTTGACATCTAATTTTGCATCTGTAAAGATAAGAAATGTCAGGCCTCTTTCTGCACTCCCTGGTTGTGCATGGTGTCATTCACATGCTTTTTCTACGTACAGATTGAAGCATAAAATGATGGACAGAATGTCACACCCAAAGTGTATTCTCAATTTGGATTCTTTGAAAACAGCAGGAGTAGGCATGCTGAATTTTCTCGTTTTCATGCACTGGGAGATAATTGTGAGATCTTTTGGTTAAGGAAAACAAAGCTTTGACCATTTGTGTGTCATGAACTCTAATCAGAATCAGCTGGTCACACCCAATTTGGGTTTGCAGAAATACAGACATGTGACTATTAAAATGCACTTACTGCTTTTTCTTTCACTGTCACAAGCAGTCTTTGAGGCTGTTCTTTTAAAAGCAAGAAAACATGTATTTAACTTTGTCTCAAATGTGAATCAGAGGGAAAATGCATGTAGTACCAATCTGCCATGCTTCCTTTTTGGTTGGACTGGACATTATGCCTGAGGGACAATGCAGCCTAAACTACAACTTTCACAAAGCCTCTGAAATTTGACCTGTGAAGTGAGATAATCTCTTGGCAGCATGTCTCACTCGTGAATTAAACAGCCTCCAAGAGAAGCTGTGTTTATGCAACTTCTCATTTAAAAGGCATCTTATTTTCCTGAAGTCTTACTGATGATTAAATTTGAGTTGGTAAGGGCACATTTTTACTAATTACATCCGTCCAGTTAAGAAATACAGCATAACCTTTCCTGGCCTCAGCTACATTGAGCTGCTTGGTGCTAACCAGGCAATTGCTTTACATTTCACTCCAACCATGTTGAAGTAGAGCCAGTCTTGGTAGTCACACTGGAAAATATTTGCAAATTATATCATTTTGGTGCTTATTTTTCCTTCAGCCTCCAAAATAAATGAAACTAGCAAACCTGCTTCACTTTTTCCTTACACAGCCTCTTGTTCCCTCTTGACATCCCTGTGCATCTGCATATCCTTCCCTCCCCCATGTCTAAAGGTACCACTACCCTTCAGGGCACACATTGGGAATATATATTTTTTTCTTCATTACGTTTAAAAGCTACTGCTTTAGCAAAAACAGCTTTTGAGCCGTTGCAGCATGAGAACAGCTGTAGCAGTGAGATGAGAAATGGTCCTAATATAGAGAGATTTTGGGGGCTGCGTTGCTGAGTTGGAAATGCCATCCATAGAATATCCCCCTAGTGCTAAAACCCATCGAAATAGATTGGAATGACTTCTTGGATTCTTTATTATTTTTAATGACTTGTTGTGCTATATCCAAAGGAAGTTGGAGAACACTGCTCACTCCTGAACTTAGCCTCAAATGCTCTTCTGTGCATTTGGTCCAGCTCTGCATGCAGAAGAGGAGATGGAAGGAGAACGTATCTTTGTACTAGCAAGGGGAATTCTTTTAAACTCCATGTCTGCCCAGCAAATAATCTTTTGTTGTTGTTGTTGTTCTCCCCCAGCTCGGGGATTGGATCACATTGCTGAGAACATTCTGTCATACCTGGATGCCAAATCATTGTGTGCTGCTGAGCTGGTGTGCAAGGAGTGGTACCGGGTGACGTCGGACGGCATGCTGTGGAAGAAGCTCATCGAGAGAATGGTCAGGACAGACTCCCTGTGGAGAGGGTTGTCAGAGAGGAGAGGATGGTGAGGAAACTGCATTTTCACCTCCTTTGGCCCCATTCAGGACAGTAGGTGCCGTGCGGTTATTTAGCACACTGAAACATCATGTTGGTTCCAAACCTGACAGTTCCTTGAATCAAAAATCAGGGGTTGGGGAGTTAGGGCATTATTTGGCTATGCAGGCAACGTGGGGGATTTTTCCCTCACCTTCCTCATCTGATCATGCTCTTGTCCCACTGTGAGAAGGGAGATATACAGACTGAGATTTTTACACCCAGCTGTCATTCAGTTCAAATTAAGAAGCTGTGTATGCCTCAGGGGAACCCTAAAGTGGTCAGCAGTTCAGAGCAGAAGAGCTTTTTTAGGGGTGGCAGTGGGGCAGCATGTGCTATGAATTAGTTGACTCCTGATAGGTCTGTTTGTTTTCCTCAGCAGATTTTCACTATTAGATATCTGTTTAATTTTCAAACTGGAAGCTGAGGGTATGTACCACGGAGAATAGGGGACTTAAGAAATGCAGATAGATTAGTTAATAATCATCTGGAATAGCCTTACTACAGTGTAGGTCTCACTCAAGTTTGAAGCTGCTCTGCTAACATTTCATTAGAACTTTCTCTCTCAGGGGTATGTCCTTTAATACATAATTTTCTTTTCCAAGGGTGTCCCTAGGATGTTGGCAGAAAGGAAACTGGGTATGAATATTTCATAAACAAGATAAAAGTGACAGCTCAGGCATTTTGGTTGCTATTAAAAAGAAAAAGATACAGAGTTGCAAACAAAGACTCCTGGTCTATAGGTAATTTTGTTATACTGTTTGTCTCAGGAAGTAAAGGCAAGTAAATCAGGATTATGAGACCTTCTTTAAAAATAAATACTATTTTGATCTGCTTCCAATAGTGTAATGTTTATAAAGAGTGTAAAATAAACACAAGCACAGCAGTGGTAACTTTTGCATTTCTTTTAGTGCCTTATTCTCTCTAGGACTTCCATTTTCTCTTTGTATTGTTGAGGTCACAGTAAGTCCTAAGAGGACCTTGAGAGGTCATTTAGTCCCTCCTGTTTCCCATAGGGAGAGCCAGGTTTCTCTTCAGTCATCTCAGATGTTTGTCTTAACTTGTTCTTAAAAACCTTCACTGATGGAGATTCCTGAGCCATTGCTTGGAAAAGGAATTACACAGTATTTATTATTGTTGGGTATTTCTCCATTTTGTCTGGAATATTATGAATTTAATCTTGGCCTTCAAAGTGCCTGCAGCTTCTTCTCCCAACTTTATCATTGGCCAGGTAATAAATGCATTCCCTGTTCCATTCTTTGTCATTAATGAAAATGCTCAATAATGACATATCTAGGACAGACTCCATGCAAGATCCCAGTTGCCATCCTGTTTGACAGTGCACCATCGGGAAACTCTGCTTTCTAGCCATCTGTGTGTCTACCCTTGAACTCTTCCAAGATGATACTTCTCTTGCTCAGTCTTAAGAGTAGCCTGTAAGAAGAAATTAGATCAATTTGGCATGGTATATTCTGGATTAATCAGTGTTGCCTGCTCTTTGTCACGTTGTCATCATCTAGGCACTCATCTGACTGAGTATGTGCTCTAGAACAGCTAAATGGTCAAAGTTATTTGAGTCAGACAATCCACTATTTCCTTGGTGGACCTTATTCCCTTTTTTAAAATACAAGAGCTACATTTGTCTTTTTCCTGTTCTCTGGAGCTTTACCTATTCTCTACATCTTGTCATAGATCATAGCTGATAGTTCTCAAGTTGCTCCCTCCACACTCCACACTTTATGCCTGTGTTTATTTTACACTCCATTAACACCAAGTGCTAATCATACAGACACAACATTTCTAAAAAACAATTGCAAAATTTTGCTTCTCCTCTCAAGGACAGTCTCCGCATTACTGCACCTCTTCTTCAAGTTTACACTGGATTCTGGAGGTTGCTTTGATGCAACAGGAGCAAGTTGTGCTCAAGTGTTTCCTCTGGTTAGCTTTAGAAGATAGAACTGCATGGTTAAGAGAGGCAGACAAGAAATATCCAATGCAATTGTATCTGCCATGTAGAGCTTTATAGCTTGTAATCAATGCTAACGCTGTACATGGCACAAGGAGATGACAAACTGGACAGTTCAGAAAGATAAATGACTGATGTTATTTGCTTACAGGTCCTCAATTTGCACATGGGCTGCCTGATTTCAGCATTTGCAGCTCATGGTTTACAACAGAAACCCCCCGTTCTGCAGCATGGCATCCTTCACTGACAGCTTGTCAGGGAGCAGGAAGGGTTACACAGATTTAGAGAAATATAAAACAGAAGCCCAAAATCTGGGCACAGTTGTGTCCATCTGATTGAATTGGCTGGTCATCAAAACCTGCAAACAATAGTTCCTTTTATCCCAGAGCTACAGCAAAACAGCTACTGGGATGCCGTGGAAATTCCAAACAGTCCTTTAGCTGAACAGTAAACAACTGACTCTACATGCAGCAAGGCAGGACTTTGTGTTACATTAGCTAGTAAAGTTAGAAACAATAGACAGGTTTTTAGGCATATAGGCTTGTACACAGATTGTTGTAGACCTGCCCCAAGTGTTCCAGGATGTGTCCTAGATATTCTGTGTACCTCCAAAGCGTTTTTCCTCTCCCTGAGCCAGTAACTTTAATTTTCATGAATGCACTTCCAGTCTGGATCACAGTAAATAGACAACCATCTATAGTTGGTGCTTTGTCTGCATCTATGTGTTTGTTCCCATTTAAGTGTTTGCTGGTAGCTGTATTTGAAGAATTAGATGATTGCTCTGTCCAAAGTGGAAAGCACCTTTCTCTCAAGTTGTACGTAGAGTACTTTATTTAAAATAGTATCAAAAGTTCTTTTTTTGAGCATTTGTCATTTGGTTTGTTCAGTCCTACAGTTTGCTACTGCTTTACAGCCTAAAAATTTAGTTCATTGTTGTGATCTCCCTAGTTCAAGTACATCAGGGCAGCTAATGTACAGTCTCTCAAATTAGTTTTGAGCTGTACGGTATGGAAAGGACAGGAAAGGAGTGTGCAAGGAAGTATTGAACAATTAATTATGCTGTAATGGAGTAAGGGAGGGAGAAGCGGAGAGCTCGCCCAGTGTAAACTCTGTGCCTCTGATGCCAGGATTACACTCAGAGGCATTTCTGCCTCTCTCCATTTTGTGAGGCATGTTGCCAGGCAGAACAGCAGTTAGTACGCCCATGGTGGGATTTACAAGCTTCCACACCGTGTTTGGTGGCTTCCTAACTTCAGGATGAGGAATTAAAGTTTTTTACACAGCAGGTAGTGATTGCCATTTACAGATTTTTTTGGTAGCAAAACTCTAGCTTGGGATATGAGTATTCCAAATCAGTGTTGAAATGAGGGAGGCACCACAGATGAAGTGTTGCTTACCAAAATACATTAGTAGCAGTAAAATGTCCAGGTACCCAAAGTGATACTGTTCCTGCTAATGCAGATAAAAGCTAACCTTGAATGCATAGTGAGTTTGAGTGTTCCTTGGCTTCTTTCATTTACTTTCTATGCTTTATTTCAAAGGTGACTTCTGATATGTGTATGTGTATTGCAGGCACAAGCCATTCTCAACTCTTACTGAGCTGAATGGGCCCATGTCCATAATAGAGAATGTATTTCCCTTACCTGAGTGACTAGACACAGATGTTTTTGCGGCATTTCAATGTTAAAATGCAACACTCACATGTTGCAGGGCAAACAAACAAGGAACCAGCCCATCTTATTGAGTGAATTAAGTTTCAATATGAATCTGTGCTTTCCAGCAGTTGTTACCCATTTGTAAAATACCTTTCTTCAAAATGCTGAAACATGATTTGTGTTCAGTGGAAGTGTTCTTTGTCTTTCAGGGGGCAATATCTATTTAAAAATAAACCTCCTGATGGAACTGCTCCACCCAACTCCTTCTACAGAGCACTTTATCCCAAAATTATACAGGACATAGAGGTAAGAAACAGCTTCCAGATGTGGTGGTGGTTTGCTGTTGTCTTTTTGGTTTTGTTTTTTTTTCAAATGTCTCTGATTCATTCATGATGCTGAAATTCTGAGAATATTCCATTCTAATGAAATATGTCTTTAAATCTGATGTGTCTTTGTTTATCTGGAGTTTGTAGATCTGGGATAATTATATGAGGTCCCAGGCTTTGCTGCTCCTTTAGACAGAGGATGAGTTGGATTGTTCAGTGAGCTCTTGCAGGTGGAGTCTCTACACCTTGCACATCAAATGTCACAGCAGCACCATAATGTCTTAGTTTTCTCTGTTCCATGGTACTTTACTCCACCCAGTGCAGATGAGACCTAATAAGCTGTTATGGAAAGATATCAAGAACTGAGCCAAGGAGAAAGTGCATTGCCTAAGACTGCAATCCTAAGAGTCAGGGAAACCCGAAGCAACTGAGCATGGTTGCCTTACTTTTAGTATGAGCAAAATGGCATGTTCTAGTTGTTTCCTAATGGCAAAAGCAGTGCTCAGGCACTGTTGTGATGAGTTTGTACAAGCACTTACAGCTCAACTGAGACATTCTCTTCAGTTGTTTAGCTGTTGAGTCACAGGGGGTTAAAGGCTGGAGATAGAAAAAAGCGTTTAAGTTCCATTTTCCTCACCATTCCAGATGACGTAGACCAGGTTAGCCACAAGATGTTTTCCAGGTATTTGTCTGTTTAATTGGTTTTATTCCATGTGTTGCTTCTTCTAGAAAGTAGTTATGTCATTGTATGGGCCTGGCTGCAGGAAAAAGAGTGAAGAAAAGTGTCTGCTGTCTTCTCTGCCAATCAAAAAAAAGGGGAAATAGTTCTGTGCTTTTTTTTTACATCTCATTTGTCTCCTGTCTCTCCTCAAGACAATAGAGTCAAACTGGCGGTGTGGAAGGCACAGTTTACAGAGGATCCACTGCCGAAGCGAGACAAGCAAAGGGGTTTATTGTTTACAGTATGATGATCAGAAGATAGTGAGTGGCCTACGAGACAATACTATCAAGGTGAGAATGCTCCATAATGGCATACTAGTGGTATGTGGTACCTATGCCATAAATAAGAGTGTCCTAATTTCAGTGACACCTACCCAATCTCTTGTTAGTAATCTAGCCTTCCCCTTCCCCCACCTCACACCTGCACAGCACGTATGCCTTTTTTATCTGGCTAGAGAGACCCTGTTTGCAGACAGACAGACTTTGCTAGCAGAGTTTTTGTCAATCAGTAATTACAGGCTATGTAATTACTAGACCCTGTACCCTGATGAGAAGGGTAAAACTAATATTCATAGTAAAGCCAGTAATATCAAAGATATTAATCTGTTGCACCAAAGAGCCTGTAGAAGACTCTGCAGGTGCCACTAAAGGTGTTCTAACTGCACTATCGATGGTGTGTTGTAGTAAAAAACAGATTAGTTAAACCAGTAAGTGCTGAAAGATGAAAACCTTACTGAGCTGTGTGGTTTTGAATGTTTGCTGTCTTAGATCTGGGATAAGAATACATTGGAATGCAAGCGAATTCTCACCGGACACACAGGTTCTGTCCTGTGCCTCCAGTATGATGAACGGGTGATCATTACTGGATCTTCAGACTCAACAGTCAGGTGTGTGCTTGTGATTTGGAGCTTTCTGTTTGCCTCTAAGGTTTTAACTTTGCAAAATGCTGAAATGATCTCTTCTTAAATGTGTGCTGTTCAATCAGTTCCATGAAGTAGTTCAACATATTTGTTGAGCAGTGTGCTGTCCTTGTTTATCAGATGTCCCTGCAAATCGCTGTCAAGGAGAAATGAGAATCTAAGCAAAGGCCAGTCAAGGTCAAGCTGACTTAGGAAGGCCATCTGGCATTTCACCAAGGTTTTGCATGTTTTGACACTCCCTGAGAATGTTATAAATTCTCCTTGAGAATAGCTTTTTAAGAGATGAAGTTTTCAAAGCAAGTATGAAGGTTTCATCATCCATTCCCACTTAATTTTAACAAAATATATATGCCTAGATCTCCTATGACTTTAATTATATTTCAGCATGATATTTCTTTTCATTCAGTCTTTCTAACCTTGCTTTCCTTCCAGTCTCCAGCAAAAGGCTGGACACCTCAGGGTAGCACTTGCAGTGCATGCCGTGCAGATTTGAAGTCCACTAGTCATATGACAGAATCCCAGAGGATGTAAGACCTGTCGTATAAATACAGGCACATATGAGTTAGTGAATTGCAATATGAACTTGGATGTGAAGGGGCAGGTCTGTCTTCTCCGTGTTGTTATATATTCCCTCTTTGTCAGAGTGCAAACAATGCCCATGCAGTGAACTTGGAAACCAGAAAGCTGTGTTGGTGGCCTTTTCTGAAGCTATTAGCATGTGTTCCCTATGGCTGCAAGCTCCTCATGGTTATCACTGTGCTTTTGTGTACACTACTACTCTTAATCTAATAATTTAATTACTGATGTGCTGCATGCAGTGTTGTGGTGCTGCTAAGTTTTGGGGTCCTGTCATTAGTAGGGATCCAGAATTTCGGCAGCATTGCCAAAAGAGACACCTGGAGATGGTGTAGGACGGTGCGGGAACTGCACCGGGCTAAACAGATCGCAAAAGGAGAGGCTGATTTCTGTAACAAGCGCTATCATCTTCCCTATCAGGCTGGACTGGCCAAATTGCAGACTGGCTACTTGCCCAGAAATACTTTGTTTCCCTTTGTATCTATAAGTGTTAGTGCAGACCCCAGAGGCACATAGGATGTATCGCTTTTATCCTTGTGTCTCCTCAGGAAGAGGGGCTTCATCCAATAGACAGTACAGATGGGCTCTTAATGCTTCTGGGATCTCAGGGATGCACTTGTCCAAAGAAGTCAGTGGGTCTCCAGCTCCTGTTCAGTTTGGCAACCCTGTCTGCAAACTGTTCGTATGTTAATGGCTCAGGTCTTTAGTTTTTTCTCCTTTGCATTTTGTAATTGGAATGTAGTTTTCTTTCTCATTTATAGTCCATAAGTTGATGCACTTCAGTCTCCCTAAGTTAGAAAATAAGACATTAGAAGTCTTTCCCACATCTTGCCTTTTCTTACTGCTTGCCTTATTGGCAGAGGAAAGTTTTAACTTCTGCAGTGTCTGATGTGCCTGATGATACAGCCATTTTCTGCTCTCCTATAGTGTATTTGGGATACAGGTGTGATAGTGCCAAAAGAAATCTCTTTATGGAGGGTAGAAGTTTGCCAACAGAATAGCCCAAAAGAAACATTTTAAGGGCTTAAAATTGCATTTCGAATCCTAGAAGTTCTGTATGAAGATTTTATCTAATGTGCATCTTAAATTATCATTCAGTTGAAACAGTTGGTTCCAATAACATTAAGTTGACATAAATGCTGTGTCTTAATTTGAGTATTCAGCACATTCCTGGAATGTTGCTGTGTACCAGATGCACCTTAAGATAAATGCAATTCATGGTGCAACTTGTGGCAATTACTCGTATTTGTTTGAAAAGAATTGTCTTTCCTGCTTCTGTATAAATTATCCCTTGAGCTGGTAATCCTGTGAGAATGGTCAAAAATTAAACCTGTCACTGAATTTGCTTCTCCACATTGACTGGAAATGAAGCGTATGGGAGGCTGACACAACCAGGAAACATCAGCCTTTAAGACCATCAGTCTTCTACCTTTCCTCAGCTCTAAATTCCCTTAATTAAAGAATGCTCTTTTCCTGGGTGGGTTATTTTTATGGTGTTAACTTCATTGCAGGGTTTTTGGCTTCTGGACTTCCTCAATGTACGCATAATCAACAGGTTTATATAATACATTTTTTAATGAACTATTTAATAGATGTAGGTATAACCTGTGATGTTTGCTTCTCTAATATCACTAGGGAGTCAATTACCTCTCCCCATCCCTCTCTTGCCCTGCAGAAAATGCACTGTGCAGGTTTTTAACTCTTTTCTCTGGTTTGAAATCTGAAACTGCAGAGTGTGGGATGTGAATGCAGGCGAGATGCTGAACACACTGATCCACCACTGCGAGGCCGTGCTGCACCTGCGCTTCAATAACGGCATGATGGTGACATGTTCCAAAGACCGTTCCATCGCCGTGTGGGACATGGCTTCGCCAACGGACATCACCCTGAGGAGGGTGCTAGTAGGGCACCGAGCTGCTGTCAACGTAGTGGACTTTGATGACAAGTACATTGTATCAGCATCAGGTGACAGAACTATAAAGGTGAGGTGCTTCAGAGGCTTTTTATTTGCAGCACTGGGGTATTTATTAATGAAGAACAGTGACCAGGCAGGGAAGATGGTCCTTGGCCATTATTACCCAGATCTTCCTTTAGAAGCAGTATTCTTCCTGCTGCTTATTTCCACTTGTCCCTCCTCTCTTGAGCTTGCACAACTTGTTTACAGAGCTGTATGGCAAATCAGATCCAGGTACAGAGGCAGTTGAAAAAGAAATTTTTTTCTGTGTTCTTTTTCGACTTGACCACTTTCATAATCTGTTTCAGCATCAGTCATTCAATAGTTGTCAGAGGGCAGCATGGGCACAAAAGCGAAGGTGAGTGGATAGGAGTCACTTAAACGTTACTGCTGTGATCCCAATCTGCAGTATTAAATGTCAGGAAAATGAAGATCATGTGTAGACTAAATCATAGCCAAAGAGTGCTAATTCTGGTGTGGCAAAAAGCTTCTGTGTACAGTGACCCAAACTGCTAACAATTGCAGACTATAATCACAAGTCATCGGAGGGGTGATTTTCCCAGTCTTAATGGTAGCCTCTTCAATTAAGAACATTCTGGATGCATCTATAAATCATACAGACACCATCTTTTGTTAGTCTCTTCTTAATAATTTTGTCTCTGTGTGGTTCCCTCCTCCCTTCCTGTCACAGGTATGGAACACTAGTACCTGCGAATTTGTGCGCACCTTAAATGGCCACAAACGAGGCATTGCATGTCTGCAGTACAGAGACAGGCTAGTAGTGAGCGGCTCTTCAGATAATACTATCAGGTGAGAGACACACTCCCCATCGCAGAGTTATGTGCAAACACGTTGTCTCTGATTCACTGGGATGTGCAGAGGTTAGGCAACTGAAGTGCTCTGTACCCTTGTCAACTTTGAAATATGCTTTCCTTGGTATAGAACATTGGGAACTACTGGAAAGAGATATTAGAAGCCTGTTTTACTGTGTTGTCTTTCATCCTCAGCATCTCAAGAGTCCCATACTAATCAACAAGTTGCATTGCTCTGACAATTCTGGTGTATGAAAGAGCTGGCAAGTACCACTTTCTGTGATGTCCTCTTGTGATATTTTAATTGGGCTATGTGTCTAGTTAAAGGGGTCAGATTTGCAGTAAGAGGCATTTAATCCTCTGCAGAAATCCTCCTGGGCTCTCGCCAAACTCTTCTTATGGTACTTGGCACCTGGTTAAGTTTGGAACAGCTGGTTTAGAGCATGAAGTTCAGTTTGCTGCCTTTTGCACTTCTCCAGCTGCCCTGGTTGCAATCTGAGATTTAACTCTTTCTGGTATCATGAGCCAGGATTTCTCCCTACATCCTGCAGCTGCTGGCAGAGGGATGTCCCATGAATTTCGGGGTACATGGAACAAGCTTGAATAATAGTTTACGTGATGTAGGAAAATGCCTCTGTCATGGAAATGGGACGAAGAGCAACCTCCCTTTTTTCCTTGTCATCTCTTTAAATAATTGTCTGCTTTCTGATAAAACTTGAAAGCTGGACAGTATGAGCAAAAACCCTTCATATGTCAGTAATAATTTCTCCTCGGTGAGAACGATTTATGCTGTTGCTATTGCAAGCCTGTGGACTTGGCTTGCAACACACTGCCTCTCCCTGCTTTGCATTCTGTAGGAAAATGGTGGTCCTTTGGTTGACGTCACAGGTCATTGTGCCAGATTTTAGTATAGGGCTGTCTGAGAGCATGACCAGAAGAGCTGGAACTTCCATCTCTTAATCACGGGAAAAAGGTATTATAGGCATTGTGTAAGAGCAACACCACTTAGATGTGGTGAAAACTACTCTTCAAATAGAAAAAATAACCCTCTGCAGTTGTACTGTGAAACTTGGTCTCAGAAGTAGAGTAAGAAATAGTTAAATACTGCAGCAGTTAGGGAAGGATCTAAAATATGACTTGCAATGCTAATAAAAATAAATGTCAAGATAGTGATAATGCTAAAGAGGAATACTGTTACTTTTATGCTTACATTGGACAAAATCCCTAGTTGACAGATAAATTGTGCTAGAATTTCAGGAATGTCAGCAGTGAATCTTAATGGAAGTCAAGTTTAGCAACAGTGTGGGCAAGGCAAAGGACTTACCTGGTCACACACTTTTTTCCCAGCCATTAGCAAAGGGCACAAGTCAGTGGAAGGGTGATAAAGAAAGAGCAGGTTTCTGAGTCATCATTGTGGGTGGCTTGGTGATTTCTATGTTTGATTTGAATTCACTGTGAAATGCCAGATGTTGTGTGTTGGCCTTTAGGAGAGGCTGATACAGAACTTAAAAGTTCATCATCCCTCAGTTGCAGGGAAACTTTTTTTCCAAAAGATGACTGTGATTTCTAGTTTTGCAACTGCAAATGTAAGGACATGTGAAGTAGCTGAGAAATCAGTGTCTTTCTTCTGTAGGGAGACTCCAAATATAAAAATTATTTGGGTTTTGTTTTAGGCCAGAAATTTCACCAGTGTAAGAGGACACAGCTACATAGACATCACTATCATTGTGCTGATTTCCACCTGCTAGAAAGTGGTCCATCAAGTTTAATCCAAGCATCTAGGGCCGAAGTTCCTAATTGCTACAGGCAAGCATTGTGTAGGAAAAAAAGGAACCAGAGAATTTAGGGCAAGAAAATAGAATCAGACTTTTAACATCTTGTGTTAATTTTTAAATGAATGGTTGGTTTGCACGTGTGTATTCTAGTTCCAATGTGTGCACACGTGGGGATCTGCTACTGATCTGTTTAGACTACAGCATTCTCTTTAAGAGATGGGGATTCAGGCTCACCTGCCTTCTGTACATCTTTCAGCTCTACCAGGACTTCAAGTGAATTAAAGGCTGGGATAATTGAAGACCTCGCTCTACTTCTAGAAATTCTCCCAAAATTGTAGGAAGGAGAGTGCATAAAATTTTTTTAGTTAGTTCTCAAGCCTTAAGATTAGTTCTTTTACTATTTGTTCCTTTGATTATTTAAAGAAGTAGACATTTGAGAAGCTTATCAAATCTGGGAGTTACCCTTGGCACCAACTGTGCTAGGAAACTCTGCTCTTAATAGCAGTTATCACCTTTGTACATGAAGGCCCATTCCCCATGTGACTGGGGACATGATCACCTCTTCTAATCCCATTCAGATTCAGATAAAACCTCAAACTGGGACCTGAAAAAGGCCTGAATTAGTGTGGTGCAGACTCCCAGAGCTGCTGGCAATCTCAGGATTGATGGCAAGGAATGGAAACACATGGCGCAAAAGTTCCTGGCACAGGATTGCTCTTCAAACCTTTCTGCACCAGTTAATCTCTGGCATTGTCCATCCTTGAGAGACTTAATGCTCTCTGACCAGCCAGAGTGCCTTTGGCTGACCTTTGCCATGAAGTTGCTTGCTCTGACCTTGACTGGTGTGCTGTACTCATGTGAAACCATTGGGGTCTTCACAGATTCCTGAGAGATCAACTTTACAGAATTACCTTGTGCTCCTTGTTGGCTTCAAACATGTCCATGGACAAATCCTTTCCCAGTTCTACAGTTACAAAAGAGTTCTGTTCGTTCCTCTGTTGTCCAAAGTTGAGAGGAGCTTGTTGTAGCAAGACAGGTGCAATCATTGGGCACACATCACCTGGATCTGGATTATTCCCTGGGGGACCTCAGGAGTAAAATATGTGGGGGTGGTTTATCTTTATCTCTCAAGTGAAGTGACCTGACCCCTCAGCAACTGTGCTGCTTCAAGATGTGTCACCCAGAGAAATTCCGCAAACCCCCCATATTTCTCACTTCTGTGGAAAACATGTCAGTCTAAAGGCTTATGAATGAACATTTAAAAACATTTGTGGCTGCTTGCTTTCCCCTAAGTGTCTGGGAGCTGCAGCAGTGCTGTATGAACAACTCTATAGAATACTTGTCAAAGAATTTCAGTTCTTGTAGGCAAATAATCTTTCTTGATCCGTGGTAGTTGGGAGCCATGTCAAAGAGCTGACAAAAGCATGGAAAAAAATAGACTTACTTCATAACTGTTTGTAGCATTTCTTAACTTTTTAAGGTACTGTGTAAGTGTAAAAATTAATATATTTTAATTTATTCTCCATGCTCAAAATCCATCACAAAGGTCAAAACTCTGGGATATTTACAGTTGAGAGAATAATGTGTTGCTGGGTCTCTTACTGAGATACTGTATGCTGGTTTGGGTGACAGAACTTTTCTAAAATTTTATTATTAGAAACAGTTCACAGAGAGCCACAGAAATTATTTGAGAGCAAGAAGAAAATGCACTACAAAAGAATAAACATAGATTGTCCATTTTAGCTTATGCATAAGGTGACCAGATTACAGAGTAAACATACCTTCAGTGGGAAAAATGACAAATTAAAAGGGCTTGTTTATTCTTGTACCTTTCACCACTGTATTGATGACTTCATTTGTCCGATGATAGTCTCCAAATCAGAAATAGGCATGTAGGGGAGCAGAAAGGGACACATGCCCTGTGAAGGTGATATTATCAATTGAAACAAGATGCCAGGGGGATTGGTAAATCTCCTTCTCTTAACATCTTAAAATCATGGCAGGACACTGTCATGAAAAATGAACCCCAGTAAAATAAAGTGAGGCTCACTGTGAAGATAACTGGGAGATACCTTGTGTACCTTACTACAGCACTAGATAATAGACACAGCTGGTCTCTGAGTCACTTCCCGTGTGATCCTGTAACATGACAGGGTCATGTTGAAAAGCATGCATCCACTTAACAGGAAAAGGAGTTATGAATGTAGTTTGTTTCGTCTATGTTGTTTCTTCTTTGTTGTTTCATCATAATCTTTATTTCCAAGTTTCCATTAACTACAAGCAAAGACCGAATGTTTAGTTACAATGATAAGGTATTAAAAAATTCTAATTGCTTCTTTGTACTCTCTTCCAGGCTGTGGGATATCGAGTGTGGGGCATGTTTACGAGTACTGGAAGGCCATGAAGAGTTGGTGAGATGCATACGCTTTGATAACAAGAGGATAGTCAGTGGGGCATATGATGGGTGAGGTTATCAGTGCAGTCAGTGCTTTGCATCTTCCTGTCTGTCTCGGTGTCTCCCATCCCACTTTGCTGCATCTTCCCTATAAATATTAGATTCTCTGTCTGCCATACTAAGAAGACCTTTTCATGGCCAGTAAATCAGGACCATGCTACAAAGCATAGCTTTTGTTCTTCTTTTGAAACAAGTCCATGTGATTTGATGTATGTTGTCCAGTTCTTTTGGTTGTAAGAATATCTGACCGACTCAACCTGAAAGCTCTTCTAGCTCAGCCACTCATAAGAACCATCTTTCCCATCTGTGATTATGTCTGCTGGACCATTTGCTGTTACAAACTAGTTGTCTGCACGCCCATGTTTCTGTTAGTTATTGCCACCTGCTTTTTATGTTTTACTTTGTTGACACCTTATTTTTTTCTCCCATTAAGCTCTATAAGCTTTACGAAGGGGAAATTCAAGAACCAAGTCTGAAGAGCAGAAAGATTGCTATACTTTTCCTTAAACTGGTGTATTAGCTGAGTTGTACTAACAGTTACTTTTTTTTTTTTGTGAGTACTTGCTCTTCTCTCTTTAACAGAGCTGTGGTGTTTGTCTATTTTTTCACTACTAGGAAAATTAAAGTATGGGATCTTGTGGCTGCTTTGGACCCCCGTGCTCCAGCAGGGACCCTCTGCTTGCGAACCCTTGTGGTAAGAGCTTTTGGTAGGGGTGTTGGAAAAAGTGTCCTTGATCAGGGCTATCTTGAGCCATGAAAACTCAAGTAGTTTAGCCCCAGTCTGCAGGATCTAGAAATATTTCCGAAGGGTCTGGCTTTTTTTAGGCGTCCAGCTTTTTTTAATGTTGCAAGCTATAAAGCATTAAAAGTTAGAACTTCTGGAGTTTTCACTCACTTTTTAGCAGTTTTATTCTGTGATTTGAAGTTTATAACTGAATCCATTTTTGAGAATGTCCTTCTTGGAATCCATGTGCCAGTGGGTTTACTTTACCCTGTGTGTACCTGATGAGGTAGTATTAAGTTGTCTGAATTGTTAACATGAGGTTTCTTGAAGAAAAATACTACATTCCCAATCTGAAGAGCAGGAACAAAGACACCCTTGTGATTGATTTTAACTGGCTTTTGGGTGTTAAAGGAAAAAGCAGGTAAGGACTGGAACAAACAGTGAAATTGCCTTAGCCTTAAACAACAACTACTATTTTTGTGCCATCCACTAGTTTTTAGTACAGGTCTGATGATGGTGTGGTTAAAATGCCATTGTGTGAAAGTTAACAGCATTCACAGTGATGCTTAACAGTGGCTCTGCACTGGTCTTACAGTAATGTGGGAAAGGTGTGAAAAAATGACAGTACAGTCAAGGCCATGGGATGGTTCCTGTAAGTGTTCTTCTACCACATTTAACCCAAAAAACAGGCACTGTTGCTGGGGATAAAGGAAGATTTCAACCAGTACCAAGTTCTCCTTGAAAAAGAATACTAAATATTTCTATTTCTTAACTAGAAAATGTTGTTTGGGCAGTGCTTGGGTTGGTATGTTAGACCTTTTCCTGCTGTGGCACATGAGTGTAGTCTGCTCTAAACCAGGATCATACCAAGGCTGTCTGATTCTCTAAAAGTGTTTCTCACCCACTGAGCTGTGCTGGCTGACCTTCTGCCCACTCATCCACCACCTGAATTGCTACTGTTGCTATAGATTTTGCTGAAATATTTACTTCACATTTGATGCAGGCTGTGAGGGTTACTGGGACTCAGCTGACAGGCAGTAGATCATTAAGCCATGCTAACTCTTTTCCAGTCATGTATTTGGACCTCAGCTGCAGAGTAAGAGTCCTTGAGTGCCTTGGATGCCTGCAGGTACTATGTTGAAACACCTTCATGTTAGCCAAATAGAACTGCAAATAGTATCATGGCTGAAATCCAGAAAACCCCTTTGTCATTGGCCACCCAGTTCCAAACTATGGAAGAACTCAGTGCCTATGAGCACATATCCTGAGAGTCTTCAGCTTGGTATTAGTAGTGTTCCTGCTCCAACCTGAGACAAAAGTGTGCCAACTAACCTGTGGACTTAATTTAACTGGTGTGATTTCCCCTGCATTTTCCAGCAGTGGACAGCCGAAGTGCCCCAGCTAATTATATTATAAATCAGAAGTGGTGGGATGAAAACGCTGCAGGAATCTCAACACATGGATACTCATAAATCCCTGTTTGATAGCAATGGAGGGGACCAAAAGAGGAGTGGGGAGCAAAGGAAACTGTTGTGGTGCTTTTAGACTTTTATGACTACAGGGTCTCCTTATACCTGCTTGCCCGTGGTTTGGTTTTTTTTTCTCTGTCTCCTCGTCCTCTAAAATTAAACCTGGCTGCACAATGAACATCATGAGTCTCCTGCTGCTTGTGTTCAATTTTCAAACAGTAGGAGGAAAGTGCACAGATAACAAATGTTCGCTGCATGCCAGGTCCCTTCCAGTTTTGTCTTCCGTTAGCTGGAATGGTGGCCACATGAATTTGACAGACGCTTTCCATGCACAGAATAAACACACAGTTCAGCTTTCCTTATGACCTAGACAGTCCAGGTAGGGCAACCCTACTTAGCCCACAATGACAGGGATCGCAAAGGGAGTTTTGGAAACGGGTTTTGAAAGTCTCTCTCTCTCTCACTGTCTCTATAAGCAATCCAGCAGTGGATCTGACTGTTGTAGTGATACTTTTTAGCAAGAACTTCTTTACTGCTACAACACAAACTCTGGAAAAACACTTCTTTTTAGAGTAGCTGGGAAGATAGAAACTCATAAGGTATGAGTTTATAAGACAAATTTGAGTTATAGTTAGAAGATCAGAAAGATTCCGTTGATTAGAAATGTTTAAAAATTTATCTTAAAACTAGAATCACACTGTGTGTGATTATTTTCAGATAATTTCAATTTAAAGATTTAGAAATTCACTTTTAAGCAGCTGTTGCACTTTGCAAACCGAGCTGTATTTTTGTAGTCCTGTTGTATAAGACAAAGGTTTCCCATTTAGTAACTAACAATTCTCTTTCACCTAAATGTTTGAGAAACCTGTGGTTTTAGTATTAAAGTATTTTAAGACAAGTTTTTTTCCTGACCCTCAGCCCCTTTCAATGTGTGAGCATTAAAGAGAAGTGTGTATTGATGGAAGAGATAGGGCTCACCCTGGTTGCACAGTTCCTGTTCCCTGCTGACCGAGGAGGAGGCCACTAGTCTTGCAGCAGTGTAAGCACCAAGAGAAAATAAGTAACACAAAATGGAAAGCATAGTGGATTTGCTATGTGATATCCAAGATCTTACCATTGCCTCCTGTTAATTATGATCTGAACTCTTGCCAAATCGTCATGCTATCTCCGCTCAGCCTTGGAGCAGAATGCAAACTGCCTATAAAGAATGCCCTTTCTAGTTCATATTTTTAGAACTGCTTAAGAGGAATTATTACTGTGTCACTGGACTTTACAACAGGCTCCTTAGTGTCCTCCAGTGTTAAGCTCTTTCCTCTTCAGCAGTGGCAATGGTGCCAAGTTGTGAATGCAAAGTTGTCGTCTCTTCCTCTGTAAGCTAGTGCATCTGGGAATGCTGTAATTTCAGGAATGAGTTTTACCATGGAAAAAGGAAGACAGTGCACCTGTCAGTCCTGCCAGACAGAATTGTGTGGTGGAGAGAGTTTGGTTTGTTTTGCACAGTGTGTATCCAGTATTGGGATTTAAGGAGTAGCAGGACAACTGTAATATAAACTTCCTGCAAGCCAAGTACTCAGATATGGCAAACACTTTTCTCTGAGAGAGTGTAATTTATGCTCTGTGATCATGATGCACAGTGTGTTATGTGGGGTTTACTGAGAAATTAATGTAATACTAGAATCAAACCCAAGTTCATATTCCCTCCTTCATCCCAGGTGCCAGCTAGTTTGCAAGGTAACATGCTGTGTCTCCCACTTGCATTTAGGAGCATTCTGGAAGAGTCTTTCGACTTCAGTTTGACGAGTTCCAGATTGTCAGCAGCTCACATGATGACACCATCCTCATCTGGGATTTTCTGAATGACCCAGCTGCCCAAGCAGAATCCACTCGTTCCCCGTCCAGAACATACACCTACATCTCCAGATAAATAACACTACACTGTACCTCACACTCGCACAGGTAAAAAAAAAATTAAAAAATAAAAGGAGGCTCAAAGGAGACACTGGATCTAGCACGAGCATGCTGCTTGAATAATTATCTGGGTCTATCAGTATTTCTTATCTTGGTTGTACAGTAATTACAGTGTCCTGTAAAAGGACAAGAGTGGTTTTGATACCTTAGAATAGGAACTTTATTTTAGGATTTGTGGCATGTGGCACCTATGACTTCCCCCAGAGAACTCCTCCTCCTCTGTCCATCATCATCAATAATTAAATCAGCTATCACTGCTGTCCAGAAGGAAGAAGGGTTTCTGCAGAGCGAGTAGAGCAGCTGCTGCCTAACAAGGGGCTGCAGATGGCCTGACCCTGGGCAGTTGTCACCGAGCAGGAGGGTTTTGCCAAGAAGCGTCAGCTTTATTCCCTCCCTCGGAAGTGGTGACCATTCTCCTCACACTGCAGCAAGCTGATTCAAGATTACAGTTTGTCTAGGGGAGGAGACAGTGAGGAACAAGCCCAGGCAAATTTAATCAAGATGCATCAACATGCAAAATAATTTACTGATAGGGCCTAGCCCTCGTTCTCTCTCACACAGCAGAGCTGTTAAATTGTTCATATCAGAGCCTGGCTGGTTTGCTTACCCTTTTGTCTTGGTGAGCACAGTGTGGGGAGGACATAATGTTTCATAGGTCCGGGTCAGTTGTAGAGTGAATTCGATATATATGAGTAAAGTGCGATAGCATGATTGCTTGCTTGGGTGGGTACATGCACAATTACTGTTAATAGCTTGAGAAAAATGGCAGAAGAACTAACAGGCTTCTGCAAAGGCGTTTCCACAGTGACATTTTCCCATGAAAATGCTCTGTCATGGGGCACGTCCTGGATCCTGTTTGATTGGTAACTGTACGGTGGTGCTCCAGACCTGTCAGATCAGCTTTCTTGATTTTCTCAAACACTCTGGTCAATCAGATGTTCTTTTAAATCATTAAAAGATTTAGTACGAATGGGGTTTGTTTGGTTTGTTCTGTTTTTCGTTCCCAGGACTCATTTAAGCTGCAGTATTTAAATGCCAGGACAAAAGAACTATCCACGTAACCAATACTTGCTGAAGAGAGAGGCTCTCAGACTTGTTTCTGGAACAAAGTTGGCATGCGGTTGATCTCAGACAGGGTCTACTCAGCGCGGCTGACTGCTAAAGTGCTGCTATATCAGAAGATGACTTTTATCTTTCATGAACAGTTAACATTTTTAAACCTTCCCATCCCTCTCCTCCCTGATCCCCCTCTTCATGTTCACTCTGCTTCCCTTTACCCTGTTTGGTTCCCCTCCAAACCCAGTCACAGATGTCCTATGAATATATTTAAGATGTTGCCAGAATGTGTTGCTTTGCTGTTAAGCAGAAGACTTATAGCCACAGCACATCCTGCTGAGAGTTACTTCAGGGTGGGTGTGAGGGTGGGTGGGGAGAAGGCTGCTACTGTCGGACTGAAATCAATATCCATTGCTAGGCCTTTGAAAAAGCATTGAGCTCTGAAGAGCAACAGAAACAAAGCAGCCAGACTATCACCCTCCCCCCCAAACCCGGCTTCCCTGTGGCTTTTGGCTGTTCTGACTGCAGACTTATTTTTTTGTGGAGAGAGGACCCTTGAAATTTGACTATTATGAACCAAACCAATTTCTTTCCTCTCCTGCCTGCTATGCTAACCCTTTGGAAGCTGGATGTGTATTGTAGTCTCCCTTAACATCTACTCGTTTGGGGAATGCTAATCAATGAAAAGTTAAGCTCTATTCTGCCAAAGTCCCAAGCATGATGGGCTGGGGCTGAGATCCTGTCCACCCCTACCCCAGGTGAAATGTTGGCCCAGGACAGTATTTCACTAGCAAAGAGATTGCGTGTACCATCTTCCTCCTGCTGTTCTCCCTGAAGACAGTATGTTGCTGATGACTTATGAATTATTCTGTAAATTGGAGAAAGTTTGAGGCTGTGGTGAGAAGGAAAGCTGGACATTGCTCTTTTCTTTCCATTCCTTCTCCCCTCAGAAAGGCTGTAGCTGGGTGCTGGAAGAGGGAGCTGCTAAAAACCTTGTGAAGCTCTCCAGAGCCATCCTAGAGTGGAGACACTACACAAACACTCTGGCCATTACAATAAGACTTTGCCTCCCTTGAATGAGCAAATGCACAGTCCTCTGGAGATGGCAGATTGGTAAAATGAGTGTGGCCATGAGGACAATCATTGAATTTAGCAGTGACTTGAGGCCGGTTCTGCAGCATTTCTGGGGCTAGCCTTGCTAGAAGGCATTTGGAAGGAGAGCCTGTGGTGTGCTTGTCTAACCTGCATGCATGCTGCACTGTGATTTAGGGATGTGGGCTGATTAGTCCTTTTGCTGATAGCTGTGATGAATCTTTGCTTTCTAGCTGAGACTTTTGCAAAATCTGATTGTTTAGAAGATAAAAATAGCCTTGAAGAGAAAGGACATGAGAAACAATTCTGCATGTCTCTGAACTAGACAGAAGTCCAAGGGAAAACAGCTGTCTTCACAGAGCTGGAAGGAATTGCAGCAGGCCTGCATTTAGATCAGGAAAGACTGTGTAAATCAGCCCCTGGCCATTCCAGTTTTGTGCCCATATCTCCTGCATGTCTGAAATAACCTCTACTGCCTTAGTAGGGAGTTGCTCCAATCCTACAGTAGGAAATTGATGCCCTTTATCTCTGAGCTGAAGGGGTTTAAACAGGCTTTGTTAACACACTCTGAACTTGGGAGATGGGATTTTTTTTTTAAGCTATTCTCATCAGCTTCACTTAGCTGGGGAAGCAGTTGCATTGTCTCTAATTGCTTGGGATGCGCATTTTCCACCAATGAAATTTAGCAAGGAGCTGGACCAGGAGTCCCCAAAGAGCAGTCCAGAGAATTTGAATAATTTTGGTGACAGCTAAGACAGACAAGAAGGTGATGGAGTTACGAAGGAAGGAAAAGCTGGTGCTTGGGGAATACCTAGAGCAGTTTCTAAGGCATGTGGGCAGCAGTGTTGAGCACTCAGTTCCCTGTATTTTCATTGAGCCTAGAGACTACATCAGCTCTAAAGAGCATCTCAAAGCCTGTGATGACACTCCTATTTTTGAACTACTGCTGTGAGAGTCAAACAGGTTAACAAGTCTGTTCAGGTAACACTGGCAGAGTGACTTACCTCTGCAGAGTCATAAAAGTTCTGAGTCACAATGATAAGTTCATCCACAACTAATTTTGGCACTACTTTTTAAGCCCAGGAAGGCTGTTTGGGCTTTCAGATAGCTCCACATATCATGAATACTGCAGTCCCAAAGCCAAAATGGCAAGGGAGCAGAGAGAATCAAAGTTTACATCCCAAACTTTGCTGAGTTCAAGTTCTGAGTCTTAATGCTATTTGAACACTGTCCCTCTAAGTTCAGGTATTACCAGGTCTGCAGCATGGTTGCATGTCAGCAGGGCTTTATATGACCTTGGCTGTAGATTTAATAATTATTTTCCTCATTTTGGTTATCCTCTGTCTTTTACATTTGGGTTACTGTAGAAAACAATGATCTGTTTCTCCAGCCACTGAAAGCTGCAGAACTTTTTAATATTTTAATTGTGTCTTTGTGACCAGCATGTACAAGGATGCATTTTATTTTGCTAATTGAGAGAATTTGGGAGAACTGGAAGACTGGCTGACCAAACAGAGACAACACCATTGTAGATTGTCCTTGGTTGTCATAGCCCTGCTGCTCCATGCTGCTATTCTCTTGGGTCTTCAAGTGGTACCGTAGTTTGTACTCTGCTGTATAGAGCTTTTTAAGGTACATTTAGCAAGCAACTGCTGAAATCCATTTTTGGCACATGGTAAGAAAGGTGTTTTACCCTCAAGAAGGGACTGTATGGGAGTACTTCACACAGAACCCCAGAGGGGCGAGGATTCCTACCCCACTCCCCGAGTTGTAAAAATTTTCTCATGGCTTAAGAAGGAAACTGAAGTTAACTGATCTAACTTGAACTTGAAACTGCCACAGCCTGACATTTGGTGGTGTTTATTGTGCACCCCAGGAGGAGCAATTTGGTAAGTAGATCTTCCAATGTCAGAAGAATGTGGCTTTTTCAAACTTCCTCCCCTTCCCTTAGGATATGTGTGCATGTGTGTGTGAGTGTGCAAGAGTACATGTGAGAGAGAGGTTTCAGCATGAACTGGATGGATAATCCCTCAGCCAGATTGGAGTAATTGCAGAGTTTATAATGAAAATAACTAGAATTTGCCTGCTGAAAGGAGATTAAAAAGGGCTGGAAGTGTCTGTGGGCTTTAAGTGTTGCACATCGCTTTGAAATGAAATACCTCTGCTGCGTAGAGATTGGCACTTCTCCCATAAGTTGGAAGCTCACATGAGCCTTCCACCTTGAACTATGGGATGGAAAGTACTGGAGGTGTGGGACATTCAGAGCAGGACAATCTGTTATGGCCACACCATCTCCTGCTTGTGAATCCTTTGCAGTAGAGCACAGTTTTGCTGCGAATATTTCTCGTCCTAGGAGGAATACAGCTTGCTTTCAAATATGCAAATAGAAAATGGCATGAAGGAATTTGCAGTGAGATAACTCCTACAGCTGTCTCCTCTGGAGCAGCTCCCTCTGCTCCCTGTTAACATTCAAGGACAGACACATCCACTGTTGGAATGGAAGAATTCAGATGACAAGTTGAGAAGTCTGTGTTCATCAGAAACATTGAAATGCTTTACACTTGTTTCTAAACTGGAAGCTGACTTGGACCACCATGCTCTACCTACCCACCACCTGCTCCTGCTCCAAAGGATCCTTTTTTCTTTTTCTTCATTTTTTTTGAACACTGAAAAAGCTGGAGAGTATCATGTGCATTTCTCCACTCCCAGGTATGTGTATCTGCCCCTTCCACATGTTCCTTCCTCAGTCTGAGCAGAGCTCCAGGCTTGGTTCTGAGTTTCTGGCATCCTGGCTCCAATGGGAAGCACATATCCAGGTTGGGCTCTTGCATGACTTCCTTTAACACCATTTTAGATCTGCCTTGTATGGCTGATTATTCCTAAATTCACTGGGGAGGAGCAGTATTTGCGTTTGATAAATTGCAAATACTGGCAGCTCTTCGTAGCTAGAGAAGTGGATAAGAAGGAACAGCCAGCCTTCTTACTGCAGGCTTGCTCTTAGTTGTGGGAGAAAAAGGAGATGAAAAGTGGTGGAAAACTAGGGGGAACGTGGGGATAGATGGATCTCTACAAAAGTGGGGACAGTGCTGAAAATAGATCTTTTGGCTTGTGCAGTTGAAAGACTTGGAAGAACAGAGGTTTTCTATGAGAACATCAGAAGTCATCAGGAGGTGATCAAGACCTCCTATTGTTGAACTTGTCGGTTGATGCCCCTTTTAGGATGCATTGGAGGCATGAGGAGAAAGGAATGGACTAACCTGCACTTGCCAGGAGAAGAATGAGCTTTGCCAGGGTCTCCAAGTGGCATGCATGATGCATCTGACATGCTGAGCTTTGCCCTACTGTTCCTCCCAAAGCAATAAAGCATCAGCTTCCCAGAAGGAGGGGGGAAACAGCAAGTGACCCAGATGTCCTCAGAGATGGTCTCCATATGAAATCCTTCTGTCCTGCTGGCAAATCCCTGCTGGATTGATTGACATGAGGGAGTCACAGTCTTTCTGCCCTCACTTTTAATTCAGAGACTCACAGAAGCAGCAGGTCCCTTGGGTGTGTTCGTTCTCCACACCCCAGCAGTGGGTTGAGACGTACAGCTGCCTGCTGAGGCTGAGCATTTGGCTTCCCCTCCTTTGCCCCCTTACCCCTTTTTTTTTTTTAATGAGGTATAGCCAAACTACTGGCAAATCCCCAAAGCATCTCTCTCAGGTAGAGCCTAGGCACACTGCCAGAAACTTTTCCCATTACTTAGTGCTTGTTCCCAAAGTGTTGGGATTCCACATTTCTTGTCCAGCAGATATCCCATGGGAGTTGGCAACACTGGTTAATCCTTAGTGATATTAAACTGATACTTTCAAAATCAGAGGGATACTGATGTACATGGATGTGCAACAAGCCCTTTAGATATTATAGCCAGCTCCTAAACAAGTTCATTTTTTTAATAGCCTATCACCCTAGAAGATATCCTGATTTCTGCTCAAGCAGGAGCCAAGTGCAGCTATGGCCAGAAAATCAGCAGGACATACCAGTCTTTGTCACAGAGCAGCTCTGCTCATACCTGCACAATGAATTTGTTGCCTTCACAGGCAAAGTGTTTTAACCTGCTGGCACTTAAGCATTGGTTTACATCTGAGCAAAACTCCACATGCAGGAGGCAGGGCAGCCTGTCCCAGGCTGCTTGCAGTGGCTTTTACAAGGAGCTAGCTGTGAGAATTTTTGGGCAATTCAATGTGAAAATATGGAGCTGCTTTCAAGTGTAGAACTTTGCTTTCAGCTACTTTGTCTATACCACGTGAGACATTGCAGGGCTCAGCCTAGCCACAGTTTTAGCATGGCAGAAAAATAATGTGACCTCAGCAAAGTGTATTGTCCCCTTTCTCCCCATCATCTTACATCACTGTGTTTAGGAGAGTTACCTGCCTGCTGCATCATTCCTGCCTGCTCAGGCTGAGGTGGGTGTGGAAGTGGGAGAGGTGAGAAAGAACATGGTTTCTCCAGAGTTTTCTGTTTGTTACTCTGCTATATTTGTTATCTGGATTCTTAAGTAATGAGTGCTTTGAATTTTGTGATTATGTTACGGTGATGTGTAGTTAATGTACTAATGTTCACTTGAGCTAGGATCATGGTAACAGTGTGGTTTGTTTTTTTTTTTTTTAACTGTTCAGAAAATAACTTAAATACAACTACAAAGATTAAGCTGTGAATCTCTCCTGTTTTCCTTTGGGGGGGAAGGACACCATCGAAATATCAATCCTGTATCTTTCTCAAGCCCCGTCTGTGTGAGTCACACTTCTGCTACGCATGCACTATACACAACATTTGCAGTGTGAACCCCTGGAAGTGCTGGGGCCAAAGGGTGGACAGCTTTGCCCCGAGGCTGGGGTAGATGCAGCTTCACAGGACACACGGAGTCTGCAGTAACCAGTCCCACCTCAGAGCTGCTGCTCAGGGATGAGTGCAGCATAAAAGACTGCTCTGGCAGTCAGGAAAAAAAACCACTTATTCCTAAAACCACAGCATACTTTTTAATTAACAAACTCTCTATTCATAGCTAATGGCCTCTGGCTGGGACAAATGAGTCCACCCTGTAAGCCAGAGAGTGGATGTGACTGATAGAGAAGAGCTGGAGCCATCCTGTCCATTAAAAAAGTGGGGGGGAAAGCTATAAAGACTTTTGTGTTTTTCTGGGTACTGTTGCAAGATCCTGGTAGGAGAAGCACAAATTTGTTTTATAAGCTAATCAGAATCCTGCTGTTCAATAATGAGTGAGTAATTGACATATCGCAGCACTGCCACACAGTTCCGTGGCTGGGGATGCTGTCACGCTTACAGCTCGCTGGAATCCCAACGCAAACACCCTTGCCCTCATAATACCTTTCTCTTAAAAATGCTGCTTGGATAGCAGCCTTGGATCTTTCTGTTTTACTTAACAGCCCCTTTTAAAACAAAGGCCACCGTGGTTTTAAGATCCTGACTCCAGGGGTGGTCAGAAAACAAACAAACCCCTGCACTCCCGACATCTCTCTCCCTGCTGGCTCCATTCTTGGGAGCCAGCAGGGGACTGGAGATTGTGAAGGCTCCTGCTTTTCTGAAGCGCTGGGAGCAGGATTCCTGTCACTTCCAATCGCAGTCTCTTCTTGTGACAGGGTTTCCCAGCAGCCCCATTCTTTGTTTGGCAAGGGTTGCGGTTTTTATGCATGTGTGTACATATATACATGTATATATATATATGCATATTTACACCACTTTAACCTCTTCTGTTCCCTCTCTGCTCTTTCCTCACATCCAATAATAGATTTGGAAGAGGAGTTGCAGTGACAGGCTTCGGATTGGTCTGTAACACAGAATGCAGCTTGATTTAAACAACCTGTGACTGCCAGCACACACCAGTGAGACCCCTTACCTTCTGTACTCACAGTCCCAGGTGTCTGTGTGTACCCAAACAACACTGCCCAGCCCTATGAGAAACAGGTTCTCCTTGTGGGTTATGTCTAGCTGTTCCTTGTATAGTCCTTCCCCTTTTTCTCATTGATGTTTAAAGAGGAGGATCGGAGTCTTTATTCCAGATTTCTAGTACTGGGACAGTGCTGTGCTGCAGGGCACAAGGTGGAAAACTTCTCACAGGAATTCTGGATTCACATCCAAAAACTCAAGTACTAAAGAGAGTCTTTGAGAAGGAAAAGCAATCTCAATTGTAAATTTCCACTGGAGAAGAATGAGCACCACACAGATTATCCTAAATAGATTCAGTGGTTAATTACCCTTTCTGTTTAAAAATGTCTGCCTTATTTCCACTTCAAATGAAAAGAGGAAAGTAATGTTTGCCATAGCTTCAAATTAACAGCATTTGATCCACCTACAGCTTTAAAATGAAATCTTCTCTTGTTTGGTGTTTTTTTATTGTTATATACATGCTTTCAAGAGTATAGTAAGATACTTTCTTGAAACGAGGAATTGGCTAGTTTAGATTAGCTAGGCTAGAATGAACATAATTCTTACAATAATGTTTGGGATGAGTTCAGCATTTGGTGGTTCAAAGAGGGCTAGGATGTCGAACTCTCAGCAGAGGAGGCAGCATAGCCAGGGAAACAAAAACCCTGAGCTCTAGTGCTGCCATGGATTTCTGTCCAGCTGTCCTGTCCTGACAGCCCTGCAGGGGCAAGGGCTGCACCTGGTTCCAGCAGTGTCCTGGCCCCCTTTGTTCAAAGGCTTTGTGTGGTGGACCCCCCTGTGCAGTGGCACACCTGTCAGTGCCCAGGAGAATGTGGATATGATTCAATGTTTTGTGGGAGTAAGATGCCGCTCCTCGGCTTGAGAGCCTGCTGCTCTGTATAGCTCTGCTTTTCCAAGTGCTCAGGTTACTCCACAGCCAATATACAGACTTCCCAGGACTCTGTTCCAGGAGGGGCTGATGGGAGAGAAGATGAGAGGAAAAATAAGATGCTGCTTGCACTAACTATCCTATGCAAATCTCACATTACGGGCTGCAGCCCTTGGAGGTCTCAGCCTGTCCCCTTTGCCAGTTGATCCTTCCTTGATGGCTGAAGACATCTGATGGACAGGGATGTTTTGCCCTTCTAGCAAGCTTCCAGGAGTGCATTCTAGCAAGCTTCCAGCCACTTTGCTTTACCCTAAGGGAGCTCAGGCACACATTCATTATATTGTCAAGGGATGCTCTTTGCTTCTGATTCGTGTTACCTTCCCAGCTTGAGCTTTCTCTCCAAAATGCTTTGCTGACATGCATCTGGCTGGCAGGAGCAGATCGAAATCTCCAAACCAGCAGGGAGGTTGCTGAGCTGTGGGGCTGATAAGCCAGGGACCACTGAATTTGGATAAGGAATATGACCAGGAGAACCTGGGCTTGAAAAGGTCTCAGCTGTACAGGTAAATAGCCTTCCTACAGATGGAGAATGGTCAGATGGGCTTTCCAGTGCAACAAGGCAGAAATAGCAGCCTGAGTAGTGCTTTCACTGGGGACACGACTGACTTCCTTCCAGAGGCCACTGTGGTTTGAAGGAACTCAAGCTCCTGGCTAATGTCACGCAGCCGATGTGTTCAAAACCCCCTGTCCCATGCCCAAAGCATCCTTCTGGCATTTACAAAGGCAGATCAGGGAAGGTTTTTCGAAGGGGCAGTGAGGCAGGGAGGCTGCCAGACCATCTCCATTTCTGCAGTGTCAGCTCTGAATGGGCAGTGCTGGCAAACTGCTCTGACCTTCAGAGCTGTGGAGATGTCCATGAGCAGCTCTGCCTACTGGGCCTGTGCTACCAAGGTCCCTCTCCTCTGGTGTGGGGAAGGGGGTCAGTGGCTGCTGAGAAATGCAGCTTTTTGCCTTCATATGAGCTGCTTATTGATTCCTTGTGGAATTTACCTAGTTTGAACTTGATAGTGGTGGGCAAACACCAAGAGGCAGCACTGAAGACCATGTCCTCTCTGAGGGATTTCTATTTCATCTTGGGAAAGGGGACAGACTCTCCCAGTGTGTTTTCCTCTGCATTCCCAAGTCCTTCATATCAATTTTTTTTGTGTTTTATGTCTTTGGTGTAGAGTCCTGCATGGCTGGCTCGTGGCTGTCAGTACTTGTCCTTGGGGAGCTGGGAAAGGAGGCAGAAGGCACCAGATTCTCTGACATTGCAGCAGGGCTAGCTCTGTCATTCCGCACCACATGAGCTCCTTGGAGCAGGATGAATCCTGCCTCTGCCCACACCATGAACAGCTGGACTATGGGGAAGCCTTCAGGGCTCCCAACAGCATCTCCATCCTCCTGGACATTGCTCTGTGCAGGATGCATGCTGGGACTGGCTCCTGCTGTTCTGCCTCTTCCAGTTCTCCTGGGTTTCTTTGCATGCCCAGACACTGTGTGTCCAATGCCTCGAGGAGAGGAGGTGGGGACAGCCTCTGGAGGCCAAGGCAGCAGTGAGGCAAGAGTGGGACGGGAGCTCTGGGAGTGACAGTGGGAGGGGATTAGGGTGGTTTATGGGCTCACAGCTGCTTTTCCAGCCATGGGGGGTGTTTTAGCCAGGGGCTCCCTGCATGGAGCCAGGGGAGGAATGCCTGTAAAATGTGGAGACGAGCTCCCTTGCGGCACAGAGCAGCGGGTGTTTCTCACCAGCACTTGTCTCGTCGTGTGCCACCATCACCGGGTCAGGTCACAGGAGTGTCTCCAATTAACCCAGCTCCCTGGTGACCCTCAGTTGTCACTCCAGGCTTTCTTCCTCCCCCTTCCTGCCCCAGCACGTCTTTCTTACCTCTACATCTGCTGCTAAACCTCTGCTCCTAGCATCCCAGCAACTGCTGGGAACTGGTGGCAGTAACCCAGATTTACTCTCTAAATCAAGGCAGTGGCCATGCCCTGTCTTGAAGCTGTGTCCTGAGGATTTCCCTGCTTCAGGATGCCCCAGCACCACCAAGCTGTGGGAGGGGAGGGAGGGCTGTTGCTGCAGGGGTGAGCACGGGGCTTGTTGATGGGTATGGGCTTCAGTGGAGAGGAACTGGGAAGCTCCAGGAGGATTTTTAGGTGGTACTTGCTGGGAGAGTACCAGAATGGAGGAGAGATGGCTGCTGCTGTTTCCTCCTCTAGCTGTGGCAGAGACCACTGGACTGGGCACATTTAATCCTCCAGATGCTGGTCCCAGAGATGAGCCATGTACCTGGATGACTGGAGTGAGATCATGGCTGCAGGACACAGCATGGCCTGGCTTAAAATCCTGTCCTACGTTTGCTGCTTTGCCTTGTCTTAGCACAGGGCTTGGGTTGAATCCTGGGGGTGTTTAGGGCTGCCCTGCAGCACTGCAAGTGCTTTGGGCATGGCTGGAACCCATAGGCTGCGTGTCCTCCTCCTGCTGGGTCATCTCACCCCTGGGCATGTCCAATAAATGGATCTTCCTCCTACTGCTCTGGGAATGAACCAGGACAATCCCCAGAACTGTGGCTCCCTACAGGTCTCCCTTACTGTGACCCTGTCACCGAGGTTTCTGCAGCCCAGCACTACTGCACAAAGGTAAAGGTGATGCCCCAATCAAGACCTGGAGAAACTGAATCTGGGCAAGACACAGGAGCTCTTGAATGGGTGCCCGCTCCGGGAAAAGCTGAACACTGGGAAGCTGGGAAGGGCTGGTGGCTGAGGGGGAGGGCCCGGTGCTTTCAGGAAAAGGTAAAGGCTCACACAGAGGGAGGAGACAGGAGCTGGGACCTCCTGTGTGGGAGGAGTCGTGCCCGGGCTCTCCCTCACCCCAGACAGCCCGTTTGGGGCTGGGCATGGCCCACGGGCTTGGGTGCTTGTGAGGCTCTCCCAGCTCTGCTCTGCTTTCCCAGCCCAGCAGGACCTTCCTGAGTGGGGCCAGCCTGTCGGGACCTGTCCCTTTTAAGCCCTTGGAGCTGTTGCCAGCCGTGGCTTAATGGGGTCCCCATCCCTTCAACTGTCTGTTCGGCAAATTAAGAGCTTGCTATTAGGCTGCTAATTAAAGGCACTTCATTAGCAGCAGGGGAAGCAGCTCCTGGCCGCAGCAAAATTGGATTCCTCTGAGCTGCTATGAGCCGAGTCTCTCCTCTCTGGGGCTGGGGGCTGTGCCCTTCCATGTCCAGCGAATGCATCTGCCCCGAGCCATGGCCGTGTGTCTACCAGGCTCCTCCCGAACGGCAGGGACTGGGGCACATCAGCCCCACGGTGGCAGAGGGGCCGGAGGTGATTCGTGTCTGGTGATGTGGGGCCGCCGCTTTCGTGCCCACCTCGGGTTGGTGCAATGTTGATGTTGCCTGCTACGGTCCGAGCACTCCACGTTTGGAGGGGTGCAGGCCGGAGCTCTCGACCGTGGCAGAGCATCACATCGGTCGTCCCATCTGTCGCCCAGCTTTGGCCGTGACCCCTCAGCGTGGCGGACAGCCCGGAGGTGTGCCCCTGCCTCCGGCGAGGAGAGGCCCCGGACTCCTCCCTCCGCCGGCTCAGCGCGCCTCCAATGAGCCCCGGGGCACCCGGGCTGCCTGCCCTGCCCTGCCTTCCCTTCCCTTCCCTCCTCCTTCCTCCATCTAAAAATGGGAGAGACCAGCCAGGCGGCCGGACCGGGGTTGCCTTCCTCCCCCTCTCCTTCTCCTCCCTCCCCGCGCTCCGCCTGCAGCCTCTCCCCGACGGTCGGGAAAGGGACCCCGCGGCCCGGCGGGGACATCACTGGGTGAGCTGTCCTGCGGCCGGGGGCTGCGCCATCCCTGTTCCCCTCCTGCCTTACGGTGCCCCGTTCCCCCAGGCCCCTGGCCTGACGCCCCCATGGCCGGACACCACCCTCCCTTTTTTCCCAGCTCGGGATTCCTGATGGGATTAGGGGGGATTTGCTGTGCGTGAGCCGGGAGCTGCTAGGTGCTACAGATCCGGCTACCGTGCGGGGGGTGCTGCGAGGAGGGCCGGGCTCTGGGTGCTGGCGAGCGTGGCTGCTCCCGTGGGATGCAGAATCACTTCGCATCCACCCCGTCCCAGTCCTGCCTCTGCGGGGATGGAAGACGCTCATTGCTCAGGGGGAGATAGCCGGGTGCAGCACCCAGGGGTGCTCCTGCAGCTGGAAGTGCTCTGAACGCTCCTGGGCACCCAGATCCTGGGGTGCGCTGGGTCAGGGCACGGGCTCTGTTCCCCCGCGGCCGTGGGCTCTCTGCAGTGAGGAGCCCCAGCAGCCGGGGCAGGAGACAGAGGTGTTGGTGGGGGCGAGGGTTTAGGAGGTGGGTGCATGTGGTGTTTGGAGAGGGGGGGCTGAGACCTTCCCTGGGGACCTGCACCTTTCAATGGTGCTGGGCCACTCTCGGCAGCACCATTTGGGTGCCCCATCGAGGGAGGGGGATGGGTGTCTCTCCCTCCCCTTCCTGCCCCTTTCCATCTGCTGCCCACTCCCAGCTGGGGACAGGGTTGCCCAGGTTACTCAGGCTGGGCCCCCACCAGGGTAAAAAAAGCCTCACACCGCAGCCACAAGACCAACCATGGGGAAGCTGGATTGTCTGGGCTGGGTGCTGGGCACCAGCCAGAAGTGGTGCTCAGCTCAGGGCTCTGTCACGTTGGGGTCTTTGCTCTGGGCCAGGGTCATCCCTACTAGAAAAGGGACAGTGACCCAATACAGTTCATGACACATGATCTTGGCCCCTGGCTCTTCTGACCAGTGCCATGCTCATCCTTCCTCTTCTCTCCCAGCATCTCACTTTCCCCCTGCTGTCGGTCACCCTTCTGGTGTCTTTTGGCTCCTCCATGCTCTATGGCTACAACCTTGCCGTGGTGAACTCACCAGCAGTGGTAAGGGACAGGCAGCCTCTCTGGGAGCAGGGGAAAGGGCTCTGTATCCCTCCCTAGGAGGGTGGAGGGATTGCTACCCAGCATCCCCACATCAAAATGCTGACATTTTCCTTGGGCAGTCACCCATGGAAAGCAGCCCAGGGAGAGGAATGGCATGGGAGGGACATGGGAGGCTGTGTTCATGTACTCCAAACTGGTCGCCCTGGGAAGGCAGAGGCTGGGGAAAGCTGGCCACAACCTCCTTACTCTAGCTCAAGCTCTGTCTGGCATCTTTAAACTGCCATTTAGCCTCTCTGATGCTGACACAGGCTGAGCAACCCAACCAGCACATCATAGTCACCCTCTGTCATGTCTTGCCTAGCATCTCCTGCAATGCTGTTAAAGTCATGGCATCGTTCCTATAGAGCTTGTCTTCCCCTTTCTCCCAGTACATTTGGTGCCCATGTGTGTCTCTGCCCTGCAGCACATAAAGGCTTTCTACAATGCCACGTGGTCCCAGCGGTACGGACATGAGCTGACCCCTGGCCCCTTGACCCTCCTCTACTCCCTGACTGTCTCCATCTTTGCCCTGGGAGGGCTGGTGGGCTCCCTGCTGGTTGGGATGCTGGTGGAGCGATATGGCAGGTAAGGGTGTCCTACGATGGGACAGAGTGATTGAGGGATGGGGTGGGACTGGAGGAGCTGCCCTTCTGCTTGTGCCTGCTAGGAATGGCGCTCTGAGCCGCAGTGCTCTCCTCGTCCTCCTGGCCGGCGGCTTCATGGGCTTCAGCCGGGAGCTGGGGTCCCCTGAGATGGTGATCATCGGTCGCTCCATCACAGGGCTCCACTCAGGTACGAGTGCACAAACCCTTCCTCACAGCCCAGTGCCCTTGCAGCCCCTTCACAGGGGGCTGGAGAAAACTTCATATTCCCCCCAGGCTCTGTGGATGGGTCTCTGGTACGGACAGGACACCTCCCTGGCCATGGGGGCCCTACTGTGACTGACGCTGGGCGTGGGGGGAGATGCACAGAGTCTCTAGCCAGGCACCTTTCTCCCCACTGCCTCTCCCATCCCAGTTGTTCCTGTCCCTGCCAGGTATCTGTCTCAGCGTGGTGCCCCTCTACCTGGGAGAAATCGCCCCCAAGAACCTGCGGGGTTTCCTGGGCCTCATGCCCAGTATCTTCATCTGCCTGGGGGTTTTTGCTGCACAGGTCCTGAGCCTCCCAGAGCTGCTGGGTGAGGTGAGCACAATATGCCAGCCCACATGTGCTGGACCCTGCTCTGCCCTTTCCATGACTTGTCCTATTTCAACTCCTCTCAGGACAGATTCTGGCCCCTTTTGCTGTCAGTTGTGGTTGTTCCTGCCTCCCTCCAGCTCCTGCTGCTGCACTGCTTCCCCGAGAGCCCACGATACCTGCTGATAGAGAGAAACGATATCTGTGGAGCCACCAAGGGTGAGGGGATATCTTGGGGGAGACTGGCTCCAGGAGATGCCGGGCGCTTCTCCAAGGTCTCCCAAGACCAAGGTGCATCCTCGTGGCACCCTTCCACACCCAGACCTCACAGCCCACCACAATCCTTATGGTTCAGTGCTTCCATCCCATGCAGTTGTGCCACAGCATTTCCATAGTGCCCATCACTGTGGATGAGGCTTTTCCCAAGTCCCTATGGATGCTGAGCCCCATGGGTCAGGGAGGTCTCCTGGGGAGGCTGAGTCAGAGCAGAGCCAAGCCCCTGCCCTGTGCCATACCAATGAGCATCTACCCTGGGATGGGGAGACATGTGTCCGTGATCCCTACTCTCCCCACAGCACTTCACCAGTTCCTGGGGACCCCTGATGTACAGGATGTGATCAAGGAGATGAAGGAGGAGCAGCGGTCACTCTCCTCCATGGAGATGGTCTCTGTGTGGCAGCTGCTGCGGGACCGCTCCGTCCACTGGCAGACCCTCTCGGTGGTGGTGGTGAATGCCGGCATGCAGCTCTCAGGGATTGATGCCGTAAGCTCTGCAGGGTCCTTGCTCCAGGACCTGGCTCTGCAGAGGCTGAGCTGAGACCTGGCAGCTCATTTCATCAAGTGCCCTATGGCTTCAACCCCTGCTCATGCTATGTCCCCTCCTCGGCAGATTTGGTTTTACACCAATGTCATCTTCGAGAACGTCGGGATCCCTGTGTCCCAGATCCCCTACACCACCGTGGGCACTGGTGCCATTGAAATCATCGCTGGGCTGATTGGGGTGAGTGATGGATGGACAGATGGACACAGCCCCTCCATGCCTAAGCCTTGTTGCCAGCTCCCAGCACCATCAAACAGGGGGGCTGAATGGATCCCCAAATGTCATCTGTGCCACAGCATGGATGTCCCTTTTCTGGTGGGACAGAGAGTTTGGCAGGGAAATGGGGATGGAAGATGGGATGAGACAGACTCAATTTGGGGGTCACGTCTAGAAGGGGTGGGAGAATTTTGGGGTAGCAGGGAAATTGGGGAGAGATGCCAGGCAAGGAGCAGGTTGAAGATGATGGAGAGAGCTAGAGGTTCCTTCTGGCTCCCACTTTCATTGTCACTCTGTTAGCAGAGCCACATGCCCCAGTCTGCCCCCCCAGCCAGCCCTCATTTAACTGGAGAGTTAGCACTGGGCCGGGCAGATTTATGTCCCTTGTCCCATCTGCAAGTGTCACCCAGGGCCATCCCAAGCCACCTAGCACTAAATCCACGCCCTGACAATTAGAGAGATGGATGGCAGTGGCTTTTCCCAGAAAACCAGGAATGAATGGGGGGCTCTCCCCTCTCCCCATAGCTCAACCCACTGCAGAGCGGGCCCCCTGCCTCTCTGAAGGGTGGCCCCTTCTCACCTCCCCTGGCTGTGGGGCTGCCCCAGCCCCCCGGCAGCCACCCAGCATAGAGCCAGATTGCTCAGGAGCAGCCCCTCAAATGGCCCCCGATGGACACGCCAAGATTGGTTATAAAATTACAGGCATTTGTTCTGCTGTCAATACCCTGCCTGCTCCAGCCGCTGCGCTGCCTGCCCGCACCCTGCCTCTGCCCACTGCCCCACAAACACCCCGTGCCCAGCCCAGCACCTCCACCTGGCACTGGTGGGAATGCAGCCATAGGGTCACCCCAGTCAGCCCCGACCCTGCAGCTTAATGGGACTCTGTGGGACCCCTCTCCTGCCCCATGTGTGCTCACCCCTTGCACTTTACTTTACATGCCCCAGCCTCAGCCCTGGAGCTCTGAGCTGGGGCTGCCCAGGAGCATCCTCCCACCTTCAGCTGGATCTGGGGTTCAGGGGTGCTCCCGTCCACCTTGGAGCTCCCCACCACCCCTCTGCTCTCCCCTGGCAGTGCTTCACCATCGAGAAGGTGGGCCGGCGGCCTCTCATCATCACTGGCTTCTGTGCCATGGGCATCTGCTCCGCTGGCATCACTGTCTCCCTGCTGCTGCAGGTTGGTCTGGCCACTGCCACCCCCAGGGCCACTGCCACTCCCTGGGCTCGGCTGGGGCATTAATGGGGGCTGGGTGATGTAAGGCTGGGTGTCACATCGGGGGAGGGAGCATGCATGGAAATGAGAGGTGCACTGGCTCTTCCAAGTAACATGTTCCCTTCAAAGTTAAAGAGAAGGAAATTTTAGTGCAAAGAACAAAAGAAGAAAACACAAATTCAAATGAGAAAAGTCCTGCTGCTTCCGGTAGCTTTTCTGCAGAAATTGTTGTTACCAGACAGGCAGCTGTGAAATGCTGGGGGAGGTGGAGACGTTTGCAGGGTCCTCCTTCTGCTGTCTGCTCCCAGGGGATGTTCCCATGACTCTGGGGACATCAACATCACGAGCTGCAGATCTCAGCCAAGGCTGAACCTCACTAGCTTTGCCCCAAACCACCCATTGCTTGCCTGCATCTCACTGATGTGTCCTGCGTGGCCACTGTCTCCAAGGGCCACCACCGAGCCAAGCAGCTTCAGCCCAGTGTCCCCTCACAGGCTGCCCTGCCCTGGATGCACTACGTCAGCGTCGCCTGCGTGGTCGGCATCATCGCTGGCTTCTGCATGGGACCAGGTGGGGCTGGGACTGGGGGAATGGGGGGCGATGGAGTGGGAATGGGTGTCCCAGGGGACCACCAGGATTTGCAGGCAGGGGACAGAACCTGAGCCTTGGCCCCGTCCCTGTGGCCAGGCCCTGGTTTACCGTGCTGCACCCCACAGGTGAAACCCCCTACAAACCCCTCCAGCCCCATACATCCCCAGGGCACACTCTACCTCCTCCTCCTTGTCCCTGCTCCAGGGCCAAGCAGAATGAAAGCCCTGGCAGCCTTCCTCAGACCTCCCATCACAGTGTTGCTGATGGGCATCACCCTGTCCCTAACCAAGTGCAGGCTCAAACAGCCAGGAGTGAAACCTGGACTGGTTTACCCAGTTGATGTATTAGCAGAGCTGCCAACAGATCTGTAATTCATCCTCAACCTAGACTTCATTCACTGTAATTACATCTTTAATTAGGATTTTAATGGCTCATTGTTCACAAACAATGATGAATAGGAGTTTTAAAACAAACAAAAAAATATATATATCTGTGTTCTGGGCGAACTGTGAGTAAGAGTCCATCAGGGGCTCCACTCCTCCCTTACTTCTTAGCACTTGTTTTTTGGTTTATCTTTTCCCTTGGAGCATCCTTTATAAAGAGGTCCCAGGCAGCCCTGTGCCAGGCAATGGGGCTCTAGTCACGTCAAATACATATCAAATACAGTCCCTTGCCAGATTCCCATGTGTCTTGGGATGTCTTCTGGACCTTGGATTCTGCCCTCCAGCACAGGGACAGTCCTGGGACCCATGGCTGCTGGCTCAGTGACACATAGCAGGAGAGGCTGAGCCCTTCCAGGAGAAGTAGTCACAACCCATGTCCAGTTTTTAGTCCAGTAACAAGTTGGCTTGGAAAATCATTTCCACACACATGGGAAAAGCAGTTGGAAAATAACATTTCTGTGTCCTTTGTGAAATTCTGATGCTCAGAAATGTAGTTGCTTCTTTCCTGCCTAAATCAACCACAGTGGGATAGAAGCTAATTGATAGAAGGAAATTTTCTGAACTGTTTTGATCAAGGGAGACTGGAAAGGGCATTATGGAGGTTACCAGGAAGATTTTTCTCCATGCCTGTGATGTCTAGGAGATTTAATGTGTCAGCATTTAGAAAAATTATTGGAAAATGAGGATCCAGGTGAAATATTCCACCCTTATTTTGACTCAGCCTGAAACTTTCAGTCACACAACTTGTGAAACTGGCCTCAGCACCCAGCAATGTGCAAGTGTGGTATGTCAGGGGGATCGTCACCTACCACTGAGACATATCCCAAAGGGAGGCCAAAGGCAGGACACTGGTCCACAACACTCCCCATCTCCTCCAGCTGTCCCAGCACCAGCAGTTTAAACTGTGAGTCTTGCTGGGCTCCAGCCCTTTGGCCACAGGACTGAGATGGACAGGACCTGTTGACCCCAGGGGTACTCGAGGCACCTGTCCCCCATATCCTTGATCTGTCCCTTCCCTCTGCAGCTGGTGTCCCCTTCCTGATGACAGCCGAGCTCTTCACGCAGTCGCACCGCCCAGCTGCCTACATTGTGGGGGGGTCCCTCAACTGGCTCTGCAACTTCACCATTGGCTTCATCTTCCCCTTCTTGCAGGTATCAGTCCAGAGGGGCCATGGAGGAAGGAGGGGATGGACACAGCCCTGCTGCTCTCCCACAATGGGGTGCCAAGTCGGGCTTAGCCTGAGAGATGCTCATGCTCCAGGCTCAGCTCAGTGCTGGCTGGAGCCAGCCTAGGAAGGGGTGATGAGAGGGGACGCTGTCTTGTGCCATGCCCAGTCTGGGGGTGCCTGACTCTCTGCCCCATCCTGCTCTTATTGTCCCCAGATGTCAGCCGGTGCCTTTTGCTACCTGGTTTTCTGTGGTGTCTGCCTGCTGGTGGCCCTGTATGTCTACTTCATCATCCCTGAGACCAAGAACAAAACCTTCATGGAGATCAGTCACATCTTTGCCACCCGCCGCTCCGTCCTCTCCATCCCAGCCCATCTCAGAATGATGAGGCTCGATGGCTATGGGACCTTGGAGAACAGCTCCCTGGAGGGCTCAGGCTCCAGCCTGCCCTGATCTGGCTGGGCTGGAGGGGATTGGGATGGTGGAGGAGACTCGGGGCTGGAGAATAAAGTGGGGACCAATTTGCTCTGATCTGGTCAGCTCTGGGTCTCCCAGGACATGTCAACATGTCACTGTGCTGCAGCCTGTAGCCAGGATGATGCACCAGGGTGGCACTGACCGCTGTGCATGACCCCCATGCTGGAAGAGATGCCCCCACAGAGACGAGGGCACCTCCTGTGACTCTCATCACTCCTGGGTATGGAGCCTTGCCAAGAGCTGCCCACATGAGCTGTTTAATAAAGACCATTGCCACCAGAGCCATCGTTTGGCAAGTTCAGCCTGGAATAGCAGCAAGCTGTAGTGTGCTGGAATGGGTGGGTGCTTTCCCAGTGCCAGGGAAGAGCAGAAGGGGTTGAGGGATTTATCCTCCTCCCCAGGGAGGCTGGAAAGGTCAAAGGGAGGGTGATCAGGATGTCTCCTAGGCTCTTGCATCTTACCTGGGTTGGTCATGCAAAGCCAGAGGCTACTGCAGAAGGGACGTAGAGTGGCTCTGAGCTGGGGGAGACTGTCCAGCCACTGTGCCCCTCCACAGCCTGCTGGAAGCCCCTTGGTGCCTGGCCTCGTGTGCTGACCCCAAAGAGTGCTCCCATGGGACCCCTGCATGGTTTGCCCTTGAGGACAAAAGGATCCATTATACACCCACATTCCTTTTCTGCACCCCATTAATTGCTGTGACCTCAAGGTGCTCTCCAAGCATGACGTCTCTCACGTCTCTGCCTTGAATCCTGAGGCCTGTGTTGCAGAGGGAGGGGCTGCCCTGTGTCCCAGGACTGCTGTGAGCATGGCAGTTGTGTGACCGAGGACCCCCACAGCAGCTCTCACTAACACCATGGGGTTGGGAGCTCCCAGGCCAGCAGACCCTCCAGGAGCTATGGTTTGCAGGAGAGCTACAATATTTTGTTCTGGTAAGAGGTAAACCCCAGGCAGTGGGGAGGGCTGTGTGGCCAAACCCTTCTTGTGCTAATGCAAACATCATTTATTTTGTTGCAAATAATTTAGCCCTCTTTTCCCCCAGTTTCCCACCCCGTGATTGGCCCACAGCTTGTGTGTTTGGTGCTTGTGGTCACTTGGTGAGGAGCCCACCCTTCCTGCATCCCTTGGCAAAGCCTCAGGGCGCCTCTGGGGGTGGGTGGGTGCTGGACCCATGGGGACTGGGCCATACTGGGTCCCCAGTGCCTGGTCCCATCACCTCCGTCCTACACCACTAGCTTGGGACTCTCCTGCATCTTGAGCCATTTAAAGGACATCAGTCAAAGGCAGGGGTCATGGCTCCACAGCATCAACCACTTCCCACTCTGCCTCCCTCCCGACTCCGCTGCTCTCGGCAGCAGAACAGAGCGGTAAATATGTGCAGCATTACATATGTATAATGGAGTGTAAATAACCCCAAAAAGTGCATTGTAAATAGACTCCAAGTTTATCCTTTATTAATGAGGCACTGAGTGCCCTGCTGTTTTAGAGCAGCGAGACTTTGATAATATCAAAACCTAAATTACACTTGTGTCTCTCATTCCCAGCAAACGACAGCATCATTTCAGGCCTCTTTGCCACTTGTATTTATTTATTCTGGTATTTATCTATCTCTCCCACCCAGCATGTGGGGCAGCTTGGAAGATGACCCCTGCCCTCCGTGTAGGAGGCAATGGCCCCCCTGGGACCAGCCCCCCCATTCTGGGGTCCTGGAACAGCCAAGGAGCTGGGGTGTTGCCTTATAGCCAAGAACTGCTCTGTTCTGGCTGGTGAGAAGGGGCAGACCTGCGAAATGTGGGGTCAAGGCCCATTTTTGCCAGAGCTTCAGACACCACCAACAGTCCCCTCTTCCCAAGGACTGGAGGTCACTGGCCAAATTCTGTGGTGCCCTTTGGATGCATTTGCTCCTGGGGACCCTTTTGAGGATATTGTGCCAAAGGACACGTCCATCCTCTTTCCATCAGGACCTGGGGGTGAGGAAACCCTGTGCTCATGGAACACTAGCAACTCATAATCTATTTTGTTGAAGCTATTGGGGCAGAATCTCTGTTTTGGGGCTGTCAGTCCAAGCTGCCCCTCGCCACTGCTCTGGTACTCCTGCAAAAACTGTATTTGGGCTTACCCAAATTTGGGCTTACCCTCTTTGCCTTGCCCAGGGAGGCATTCCCAGCCTCTCTGCTGCAGGCATCTCATGAAAGATATGGCTGGATGAGCTTTGAGATGCTTCTCCACGTCCGAAGCTGCTTCCCCATGTCCAAAGCAGCTCTCTGGATTCAGGCCTCCAAAAGCACTGGTTCTACTTGGTGAGGGTAAGGCTGTATTCTCTAGTAGTGTCCGAGCAGACCTCGAAAGACTGGAGGTGTAAAGAAGAGCCTGAGAAATTAATTGGATGCCTGGAAATGCTCCTGATCCTCTTAAGGTTTGCAGAAATGAAGAGGAAGGTGGCTTTCTCCAAATGTGTAAGTGCCTTCTCCTGATGTGCCCAGTGCTAGAGGGTGGGTGAGTTTAAGCATTGAGGTATTCACATACCTCCAACATGGAGAGCTGTGGCTCACCCCAGACAAACTGGAATGGGAAAGAAGGCCCTGGCTCAAACTCTCCAGATGCTTTGAAAGGGGGTTCTCAAGGAAATGGTTATGGCCCATCGGTGGATATCTCCAGATCCTTCATGTAAGCTCTCCTGGAGGGTGCCTGGCTCATGGTGAATGGTCACATCCCAGCTGGGAAGCTGATAAAGGCTTGCTGGACACATCTTGGTGTCCCTGTGCCATCACTGGGGCTAGATGGGGCAGCAAGTGGCCCTGAGCAAGCCCAGAGGAGGCCACGAATATGCTCAGAGGGTTGGAACACCTCTCCTGGGAAGACAGGCTGAGATAACTGAGGTTTAGCCTGGAGAAGATAAGGCTCTTGGGAGACCTTAGAGCACCTTCCAGTAGATAAAGAGATTGAAAGAGAGCTCTGGAGGGACTTGTTACAAGGGCATGTAGTGACAGTACAAGGGAGAATGGCTTTAAACTGACAGAGGGTAGGTTTAGATTAGATATTAGGAAGAAATTCTTTACTGTGAGGGTTGGGAGGCACAGAAACAGGTTGCCAGGAGAACCTGTCGATGCCCCACCCCTGGAAGTGTTCCAAGCCAAGTTGGATGGAGCACTGAGTAACCTGGTCCAGTGGAAGGTATCCCTGCCCATGGCAGAGGAGGTTGGAATAAGATGATCTTTAAGGTCCCTTCCAACCCAAACCATTCTGTGATTCTGTGATTTACAGACACATCTGCAGACCTCAGCTGCTCAGGGCCATTCAAAGCAGGGTAGAGCTGGCAGAGGAGCCAGCATGGTGTGGGGGTCCATCACCAGGCCTCTCCAGTTTCTTCTCCAGAGTAGTGGGACTGGCTGTGAGGCTGCAGTAGGAAGGACATGGCACATCTGACACAGCTCATCATGGGGAGAAGCCCAGGCTGATGGGCAGCCAAGCTCCTGCCAAAGCTTGACATCAGTGCTCATGGAGGGCCTGAGACTGCAGGATGGGACCTCCCACTGATCTCCCAGTGTCCATACTTGGTGGCTCCACATCCCACCTGTCACAGCCTTGTGTGCAAACACAGCTTCGATAGAATCATGAAAGGGGCAAAAGCAGGGGAAAACTACTTCCCTTTGGATACAGGGTTTGTCCTGCCTGTCTGCCCTCCCCAGTGCCCAGGGGCAGGAATTAAAGAGGCCCTGGCTGCCTTTTGGGGTTGGCAAAGCTTCAGACAACAGCTTGAAGCTGCTCTCAGGTACCCTGGGATGTGAACTTAATAGGGGAGAGGAAAAGGTGACAAAGGAATAGGACACAGCGAATGTGGCTGCCCTGGACCCATGTACACTGCTCATGATAATAACTGCCAGGACACAAGTCACCTGGAGAGAAAAGGTTGCACTCCCAAAATTAGGAACCCCCCAGACAGTGAAACACCCTCCAGCTTTGGCATAGTGGATGAGTCTTTCAGCACTGTCACAGGGAATCCTCTGCCTGGGAAGGGTGATTTCAGACAGGATGGGTCCTCTTGGCACCTTCTTTTGTTTTTGCTTTGCCCAGTGGTGACAGGAATCCCCAGAGAAGGGAACAAGGACATAACAGTAGTGTATATGTGCCTGCTCCAGGTGTCCCAGTCTCATGGACACATTTGTTCTACCGTAAACCTGTTTCCCTCCTGGTTGAAAATCATCCTCCAGCACGGCCTCACTGGGCTGAGACCACAACTCTTATCTCCTAAAGTGCAGAGTCAGCTCCAGCCCAGCCTGCAGTTCACACAGGCTGTGGTCAACAGTCTCTTTGCTGGTAAAAATCTAAAATGAGTGATTTTTTTTAAATTGTGTTCTGGATAAGAGGCACTCATCTGAAACCCAGCACCTCGGAGGGGTGGAGAACAGAGATTCATTTCTTTCAAAAGCCTAAAATATTTCCTCGGTATCAACCCCACCCCTCAACCTCTTAAAAAAAAAAAAAATTATGGACAATTTGAACAATTTGAGGGCATATTTGGGGTGGGAAGAAAGTGTTTGTTACTCTACCAAAAAAAAACCCCTCTGTATGAGTGCCTGCAGGTCCGTGGCCAGGGCTCTGCTGGAGCAGGTCTCTGCAGAGGTTGAGGGGTGTCAGGGCTGGTCTGGGTGTGGGTGGCCGAGGCAAGGGTGCCCGGCAAAGGGTGCACACCAGCAGATGGCACTCCTAGAATTTATTGCTACAGCAAGCTGCCTTTTGGAGAGCAGTCATGTAGGAGATGTCCTATTATATGGGCAGTTGACTTTAATAGTCATTGTGTGCTTAAAGCACAGCAAAACAACAGTGGGAAAAAAAAAAAAATCCCCACTCCACTTGGATGGCCCTTTTCCCCCCAGCCCTGCTAGTCTATTTGTACAGTAAATTAAAAATATGAATCACTTCTCTCTACTGCCTCCCCAAACACTCATCCTGTCAGGCTCTGTGTTGTCTTCATTTGTATTACCTTAATTTAATGTTAATTATGTTCTTCATTTACAAAGAACAAGCATTTACACTCCCTGTCTGGGGATTTTCCACACTCGCGGTCTCCACAGACGGGGAGGCGAAGGGGAGCGGTGGAGGCAGCGGTGCCGGGGAGGAGGCTGTTAGCAGGGCCGTGGGAATGGGGGGAGCAGGGATGCCACCCCCCGAATGAACTGGCAACGATGAGCACTATTGCCTTTCGATTTATGAAACCGTAT